GCTGGCATAATGAGGATCACTACGCGTATTCGGCCAACTACCAACACTTCGGTGCTACCAAGACCTGGTACGGAATCCCAGGCGCCGATGCAGAGGCCTTTGAGGCGGCCATGCGGGATGCAGTTCCGGAGCTTTTCGAAGGCCAGCCTGATCTTCTTTTCCAGCTCGTCACCCTCATGCCGCCAGACAAGCTTCGCAAGGCCGGAGTCAACGTTTATGCGTTGGATCAGCGAGCTGGTCAATTTGTGCTCACGTTCCCTCAAGCATACCATGCCGGCTTTAATCACGGCTTTAATTTCAATGAAGCAGTCAACTTCGCGCCTGCGGACTGGGAACCATACGGTGCAGCAGGTGTTGATCGTCTTCAGAACTTCCGCAGGCACCCGTGTTTCTCCCACGATGAATTACTTCTCACCGCTGCTGCACGTGATACCACTATTGCTACTGCTAAGTGGCTTGCGCCTGCACTAGCAAGAACGTGCGCCCGTGAACTGAGGGATCGGGCTGCTTTCTTATACCGGCAAAAAGAAATTTCTGCTCGCACCCCAGGCTTTGGTCCTGACTCCATGGCAGATGATGTGCAGCCGAGATTCGTAGTTGAGAATGAAGACCTTCCCGAGGATGATTACCAGTGCCAACATTGCAAGGCCTACGCTTACCTCACTCAGTTCCGTTGTCACAAATCAGGCAAGACTGTCTGTTTATCGCACGTTGACACCTATGACTGCTGTGGCGAAACTCTTGCTCAGAAGCTGTGTGGCTCAGGACACACAGTCCGATATCGCATGGGTGATGAAGAATTGCAGTCTCTCGTGCAGAAAGTCCAAGAACGGGCCAGAATTCCCGAAGCATGGTCCGAAAAGCTCGACAAAACCCTGGAGGATGAACCGAAGCCCCAGCTTAAGGCCCTTCATAACTTGCTAAATGAAGGTGAGAAAATCCCATACCACTTGCCAGGCCTTCAAGATCTTGCGGCCTTCGTCCAGCGTTGCGATAAATGGGTTGAAGAAGCCAACAACTACATTACCCGGAAGCAGCAGAACCGGAAAAAAAACGAGAAAGCTTGGCGCAGGGGCAGTACCAAGGCGTCGCAGCTGGACGATCGCGATCGCGAAGTCCGCAGAATTGAACATATCTACGCCCTTCAGGCAGAGGCTGATAAACTTTCGTTCGACTGTCCACAGATGGCGGTGTTGGAAGAGAAAACCCGCGAAATCGAGAAATTCCAACAGGATATTAATAATGCCCTCATGCACCCGCACACCCGGCCCCTCCAGGAGATTGAAGAACTCATCGAACGCGGCAAAAACTTCAACGTGGAAGTCCCGGAACTGGAACACCTAGAGCAAGTCTCCCGCCAAATCAAATGGATTGAACAAGCCGTGCGCAAACGAGACCACTACATGACCCTTACCGATTGCCGGGAACTTGTCGCTGGTGCTGAACAGGTCGGCCTCTCTGATACCAACGAACACTTAATTCATTTCAAGGAACTTGCTCGTCACGGGGATGCGTGGGAAATGAAGGCCAAGGAATTAATGTCCGTTGAGGCCGTTCACTATCAGCAATTAGAAGCTCTTTCTGCGCAGGCGTCTCGTTTTCCGGTTTCACCTGATACCCTCGCGGCCGTCGATGCTATATTGACCAAGCAGCGTGAGGCGCAAAAACGGATACAGACTCTGTATGAAAAGAGCAAGGACCCGGAGATGAAGAATCGGCCCAAGTACAAGGATATCCGAGACCTCATGGAATCTCTTGAGCACATGACGAGTCGACCCATCGGGGCGATCGACTTGGAACGTGAACAAAAGCGCCATGAAGACTGGATGAGAAAAGGGAAAAAGTTGTTCGGTAAGGCGAACGCGCCTCTCCATATTCTAAGATCCCATATGGAATACGTCGCGAAGCGAAACTCGTACTGTTTCGACCTAGAGGACAGTTACCGACCTCCTGTGGAGCCTTCGTCTCGAGACAATTCTCCCGAAGGTTTGCTTGAGAATCCGAGCAATCCCAACAACATGTGGGGCCCAAAGTCACGAAAGCGAGATGTGTTCTGTATTTGCAGGCACTCCGAGGCAGGAATGATGATTGAATGTGAAGTCTGCCACGAATGGTAAGCCAAAAAACTTCCAGCTTGTGGTTTATTTACTGACCTGTGTAGGTACCATGGGAAATGTTTGAAGATTGCTAGGGGTAAAGTGAAGGAATTCGACAAGTACACTTGCCCAATCTGCGACTGGCGTCAAAAGATCCCGCGTGACGCTGCTCGTCCCAAGCTTGAAGATCTGCAAGATTGGCACGCGGAGATCGCAACTTTGCCTTTCCAGCCCGAGGAAGAAGAAGTTCTTGAGAGTATCATTAATCAAGCGACAGCCTTTCGTGATTTCCTGCATGGCTTCACGAATGCTGCCTGCACAACGACTGAGGAAGTGCCAACTCTAATATTCTACCTTCGCAAAATCGAGGGCGCTGAGGTTCTTCTCACCTTTGAGACGAATTTCTTCCGGCAGGAGATACACAAGTGGGCACCCGTCGCACCAGAACCCCCTCCAATTCTGGAACAATCTCTCTCAACACGAAAACCGCGCCCGACCAAGCAACAGAAAATCATGGCTCAGCTTGGAGTCAATCGTCCAGAGGATCTCCCGGAGCATCTTCGCCCCAAGCACATTGGCGTTACCAAAAGGAAATCTGTTGATGCTCAATCACAGGCAGCTCCTGGTCAATCCGCACCCATGCAACCACCACCACCGACTTCTAGTAGCGGACAACCTCCTGGCACAGGTCCAACGTTGGCTCAGATGGCAGATCCGAATGCTGCACCATACCCATTCTCCGCAAACTATTCATTACCCGCGAGCGATTCCACGCCTGCTTTTGCACCTACCTCCTCCTCGGCTTTCCTCCCGCATGCAGCCGCTTCTCAATCCCCCTCATTCCTACCACGCTCTCCTCCTCCTCAGCCTGACCTGGAACCCTCCCTATTCAGCCCTCCACGCTTCGGTCATGATCCCCAGTTCGCGAGCAGCAGCCCTCGTCAGAACCTAGATGATGTATTTGCAGACCTGACCAACCAAGAGATTGACCCTGAAGCTGAGACCCAGCCCATGGAGAATACCCATGCTAATGAGGCCCTGGAGGCCCTCGTGGTCAGTAATGACAGTAGTCGTGCTGCCTCTGTTCAAGAGGATTCGATTCAAAATGGCGAAAACGGTGGTCCGCAGGGTGGGCCCAAACTCGACGGCACTAATGGTGGCCTTGAGGACGAAGAACTTTGACTGATTCTTCTTACTTTTTTCCCAATAAATCTTTTGTTCTTATTCAAAACTTCACCACGTCTCGTTCGGTTTTTTTAACTATATTCTGATTGCTTTACTGCGTCGCTTTTAGTCCTTTGTTTACCTGCCTCTCCTATACTTCTATCGTTCTGCTCGGACCAATCTTCAAAAAAGGGTGTACAAGAGAAGGGACTGGCGAGTCCGGGGGTGTTTTCCAGCGATTTCACGCTTTTCTGCTTTTCCATACCACAAGACTTATGTCTGTCATGACTGGTTTTCTTTGCTGCTACCGTCACCGTGTAATACTAGTTGAATTCAGCCATTCTTACTCACGTTTCCGACTGCACTATATATCTTATTGATATGTATTATTTAACATCCACATAAGCCCCTAGAGCAGCCTGTCCACCTGTATGAATGAACAATATATTGACCTGCTCTAAGGGTTTAGCAGAATCTACAACTTCTCCCTCGTCCACCCAATGCATCATGCCTCTCGCAACCTTGGCTGTATAAACAGGATCGAGCACCATACCCTCCATCCGTGCCATATTCTCTAGAGTCTCTTTACTCTTATCATCGAGCACGCCGTATGCAGTCCCAACAAAGCGATCATCAAGCCGCACATCCTCAATCCCAATATCCCGCTCCCCATCAAGCCCAATCAACTCTCCCGCCCTCCGCGCAAAATTAAGCACGCGCTTTTCATGATATGCGCGCGGCTTAGTTGGCGAATTAAGAATCCCGACAACCTTCCTCGACACATCTAATCCCCTTATCTTGTCTAGCAGCTTAAACCCAGCCACCAACCCACCAACCGTACTCCCACTTCCACACGCAACAAAGATGTAATCAAACCTCCCCGAACCTCCAAGCCCCATCTCCTCCTCCTGTGCAGCAATCTCAAAGGCCGCGCGCGCATACCCCAGCCCACCAAGCGGATGCAAGCTCGCGCCACCAGGGATCCAATACGGATTCTGTCCGGACGCCCTCAACTCATCGAGAAGAGGCGTCGCATCATGCGCTAGCGGATCCCCTTCTTCGCAGACGCGAACGTCGGCACCGAGAAGGTGATTGATTTGCACGTTTCCGCTGTGTTGGAAGGCTTCCTTGTCGCTGGCTGCTGCAAGTCCGCCGCCTGTGCCGCGGTGCAGAAGAATTACAGCCTTCAGGCCGAGTTTCCGTGCGAGAGCGACAACTTGCACAGTGTGGTTGCTTTGGATTGCGCCCTCTGTTACGAGGGTTGTTGCTGCACCGCCTTGCTGCGGGCCTGGGGGTGTTGGGTTGTTCTCATGGCTGTGATGGAGGGGTGTTTGAGATAGAATGTCTGGGACTATGTATTCTAGCTTGCGATATTTGTTGCCTGCGCAGGCTAGTGGGGAGGAGTGGTCTTCTCGTTTGGCGTGGATGGTGATGAGGGGGTGGTGCGGGGAGAGTCTTGGGGGTGCAATTGAGGATAAGGGGTGGATGGGAGAGGGAGTAGAGTATAAAATATTATAGCGTGGGATTTTGGTGAACGCCTCTGGCAGCTGTATCGGGAGAGACATTGTTCTAAGCATGGTTTTTGGTGTTGTCAAGTTAGGATGTCGCGATTTCCAATTTATATTGTTTGGCCTTGTGTTTAAGGCAACAATCCGATATCCGATGTGTCAGCAATTGAATGAATGACGTCGGATATCTGTTCGCGGGGACTATCGGCTACGATCAATTGATTCAACAACCATGACTCTCCTCCAGTTCTTACGCCAAGCCCGCCAAGTGCACCTTCACTTCCTCTCGGGTGCTCTAACCGAGCCTCCAATCTATGTAATCGGCAATCCCTCTGCCGACCTTGACTCTATCGTCTCGGCGATCATCTACTCTTACTGCGCGAACAACCGGCTTCCGATCCAAAGCCCACGACCCCATATCCCACTACTAAACCTGTCCAATTTCCCCGCTGGGACAGAGCTGTATCGACTAAGACCGGAATTCTCGGCTGCATTATGGTCATCAACCAATTTCCCCCCTCTGAAGAGTGAAGAGCAATTCGAGAACACCCTTCAGTCTGCGGGCAATTTTCTACCCGAGTATGTTATGACCGTCGCGGACTTCGCGCAGTCTCTCGAAGACCAGCATGTGTGGCACCAGATACTCGCCGATGCAACGCTGGTAGACTGGAACGCGTTCCCGCGGCCATCAAAGACCGATAAGGGCTCTGGGTTCCTAACTGGGTTGCCGGGTGTCTCCTTCCGGACTGTAGGATGTATCGACCACCACATCGACGAGCACAACATGCCAAGCATTGACGGCTTACCAGAAGGGCAGCCGATGATTATCCAACCGGGACCTGGGTCATGTGCATCGCTCATCACGCGAGAGTTGCGACAACGGAAACTCTGGGACACGACCCCGGAAATGACACAGGTTGCGAAGCTTGCTCTTTCGGCGGTGCTGATTGATACTTTAAATCTCACCGCGGAAGGCAAAGTGACCGATGTAGATCGTGAGGCGGTCGAATTCCTGCGATCTCAAATCGAGGGAGAATCACAAGCTGCAGCGAGTTCAGAAGGCGATTGGGAGCTGGAAACGTTCTACAAGAGCATTCTTCATGCAAAGCTGAATAGTCTCGATCTTCTTACGATGGAGGAAATATTGAACCGCGATTATAAAGACTGGATTGAGACGTCACAGTCCTCGGGGGAGACTGTGAAAATGGGCTTCTGTTCTGCCGTCAAGCCCATACGATGGCTTGTTCAGAAGGCAGGTGGCCCGGAGAAGTTCCTTGATGCTGCGCTCTCGTTCGCGGCTTCTGCTGAGAAAGACTTGGATGTGCTTGTTATCATGACGGCGTTCACGGGCACTGACGACAAGTTTTGTCGCGAGCTATTCGTCATCGTGACGGGTGGCAATGAAGCGGCTGTCAAGGGTGTGGAGAGGTTTATTGAGCAATCCTCTCACCATCTTGGGCTTGTAGAATGGTCTCCGCTCGATGGGGAGGATATCCCTGAGCTGACAGGCGATTGTCTTTCTACATTGAACGTGGACGAGGATTCCCTCCACTGGAGGCAGCTGTGGGTGCAAACCAACGCGGCTGGGAGTAGGAAGCAAGTTGCTCCATTGCTGCGCGCGGCGGTAGCTAAATTATAAATGAAATATGTCGAAGAATTGTGACTAGATGTCAAATGTCTATTTAGCCTGTTAGCCAGTTCCCATATCATTTTGAATTATGCTATAGATTACTTATGCGGACTTGGGTTTCTCAAACTATTATTAATTTAGACTCTAACACCGAAATCCAGATTTTTGAAATAGATTCTGGACAGATCGGATGCAAATGCAATGCCCCAAGCTAACCTCATGCAAATGCTAGTATGCCAGGAGGACAATATGCCAAAAATATGCAACCCGCAATATCACAACGCAAAAAAGCCAAAAGAAAAAAAAACACAGAGAGCCACCTGCTTCTGAACCCGGTGTATCAGAAGGCTTCAAGATAAACGCCCATAATATGTAACAGTAAAAAATCAAACACATTCCCACTCGCAAAATACACACCAGCGCGCAGCTCGGTCAGCTAGTACGAGACCGCGCCACATACCACGCTCACCGATCTTGATGACAGTCTCCCAAACACTGCCTTCGGCGACAGCATCGCTGATAGATTGGTTGCCATTATCACTGCTGATCATGTGTTCAGCTTTACGGGTAAGACGAAGAATTTTGCCGGACGGAGATTGGATCGCTAATTTCGCAGCCTTGTCCCGCCCCGAAGTAGATCTGCCCGAGGAAATGACCGAAGTCGACGCCGAGAACTCGTTAGAGGCGCCCGATACCGTTGAGCCACCGGCTGTGGTGCTGGACACCATGCTCAACGCACTGGCCGGACGATTAAAGATGGACGGTGAGGCGCGGCCAATGGAAGTGCTCTCGTCCATGGCGGACGCTGGAGCAGAAGCGTGTTGGCGGACAGCAAACACAAACGTATTGTTAACTGCCAGGCGAGAGCACTGTGGCTGCATGATGTACAAGTCGTGTCGCTGGGCGTGGGGTGTGGGATGGCGCAGCACAAAGTCGTAAGGTGGATTCTCTCCCGTGTGGGTCATTGGTAGGGCTAAGGCTAGGGGATGAGGGATGTCCCGGCTGGAGTGCATTAGCCCTTTCTTGCCGGCATAAATTTTCAGTACACCCTGGCCTTCGTCGCCTGGCAGCACAGCCTTGATTGTGATGCGCTTTTGGCCGCGGATCCAATCCGGCTGGACCAAGGCGCGCTTGCGCACAATGTCTCCGCTTTCGAACACGTCGCCATCTACGTCGCGGGCGAATCCCGGGGCTTCGACTTCGGCAGCACATTCAACATCCGGAGGTACTATCATGCGCAGTTGCATGACTTCCAATCCGTCGATGCGGAGGAAACTCGTGTCATAATCCGGCATCTGGATATTAAGTTTGAAGAATGGCGGGCACACGGTGGGCAGGGAGAGCAGAACATCTGGTGAAATTGGCGGGCAGATGTGCTGTTCTTCCGGATAGAGTGGGACATGAGTGTAGCAGAGATCAAGCGGGCGTGTGAGGAAGTACCAGCTCTCCGATATGGAGGAGTTGTTGGAAATGAATTTACTGCGCAGAGGATTTGTGGGATTTGCAAGTGCGCAATCCATAAAGCGCCATTCGCCGTCTACCAGAACAGAGTTCCACCAGTGGTTGGGGCGGGAGAGACTTTCCAGGTCAAGGGCGTCGCCGGGGCTCTTGAGGAATCCTCGGATGACTTCTGTATGCAGGCCAACGGCTGTGCACATCTCATGCACCAATACTGAGATTTCCTCTGGGGTACCTCGTTTGGCCTGCAGAAGTCTCTTCATGTCAACCTCGACGCCGTCGAGAGGTTCCTCCCACGATATTTTCTCGCTGACCCAGGTAAAGATGGCCCGGAGACGCTGAACATCACTCTTGTATGGTCGACAAATATAGGCTTGGGCGAGGCTCATGGGGTTCGTCATTGGAGGTAGACTGCTGATAAAGCGTGCACTCTTATCAACGAGGGTAAGATTGGCAGCGTGGAAATTCGTTGGCTCAGTGATCGGCTGCCCATCAATGCTTTCATCGCCCTCTGCGGTATCATACAGCTCTTCCACGGAGTAGATAACAGGGTGGTCCATCATCTGGCATCGTTCTGCCCTATCAATCCTTTCATTTCGGCTAGGAGACGACGCTCGGTTAACATCACGGCGCACCTGCACCCAGTCAATGGCGTTAGTTCCAAGTCCCATGTCACGACCACTATTACGGTGCGAGTGAGACGGAGCCGGTGACACGGCGTCTATCCCTCTGTTACTCTTGGTTGGAGAATTTGACCCGACCGAAATGCTACTCCTTGCGCTGGCTGCACCAGTCTTGGCTGTTTCAAATATCTTTTTGAAAAAGCCTTGCTTTTTGCTTTTTGGCGTCGAAAGACCGCCAAAAACTCCGCTATGATCCGTCGAGTCCAGGCCGGTGGAAGTCCACGGAATAGCCGATGATGCACCTTGGCGAGAGGAGTTATGACTGGAATGATAGGAAACACCAGTGAATGGCGTTTCCGGGCGGGCATCACTGTATCCTCGAGAGCGGACAGTGTCCATAGCTGTATTTGGCCTCTCACTCCCGCCTCGTCTAGCAAAGCTCCCCGCACTCGTCGCACTGAATCCCCCTGCGGAAAACCCACTCATCACACTTTGACCAGTTTTGTCTGTGCTCGTTGTCATGGATGTGCCATTGCTTTGCATTCCACTGGACGAATTGGTGGTACTAGACTTATTGGTAAATGTCCGGTTGAGAATATCACCGCGGAGATCATGGCCGGAACGCCGGGTCTTGAGGGGAGCGTATTGTCCTGGTATAGAATTATTCCGCGGGTGGTAGGTGGCATGTTTTGGGGGAGGGGGAGGAGGTCCGTTGTCATCCTGACCGCCTGTTCGATCCTCAGACGATCGATTTTGATCTTCCAGCTGACGTAGGCGGCTCTCCATCCTTTGAACATAATTGTTCAGTTGAGGTGGACCATCCATGTGGTCATGGCTATAAACGCTGTTTCGATGGACGAGTCCGCCCTGCAGTTGTTCTTTGTCTCCTTCGAAGCCCATTGAGGTTAAATCCCGGCGTCTGTTCCCCTGGGGGGTCCTTTCCTGAGAGGTATCAAACTCTTCTGGGGACCAGGGCTCGTTGAACACCGGGGACGGAGAGGGCGACTGGTCTTGGCGTGGGAGACCCATGTCTTCCAGTGAAGTCATAACATCTTCCATGGCATCTCGGAGCGGAGATGGCGTATTTCCATGCATATCGGATTGTCCCGAGGTTGCAGAAAGAGCAGAGTGCATTGAGGCCGCAGATGGAGATGGGGTTCGATTGAGTGTCGTGTAACGGTCATTCATAACTAATGGCGTGGGGGATCGTGACGGGTTTGGATAGTGTGATGGCGGGTTAGGAGAGTGTGCGCGATCTTGAGATGAGTGCATAGGTGGGAGCGGCGAATGACTTCGTGTTTGAGAATGTATTGGAGGCTGAGGAGAGTGTGAGCCCGAACGACCGACAACGACTCGGTGTGGCGGCGGCGGAGGGGGAGGGGGAGAGTCTTCCCGCTCTTCGTGCATTTGCACCGGAGACGGCTCACGAGACGGAACCCGATAAGATGACATACCCCCGCCAGAGACGAGTGCAGATGGATGTTCTCGTGCTGGTAATGGCGATGGAGCCCGGTAGGAGGACATACTTCCATGCGGCACTGGTGCAGGTGGATGATCCTCCATGTACAGTGGTGATTGGCTACGCGATGGAGCCCGGTACATACCACCATGCGAACTCATTGTAGAATGCTCGTGCATTGGCGGCGGGGACGGCCCGCGCGATGGGGCCCGGTAAGATGTGTAACGCCCGTATGGGACCATTGCAGACGAATTATCTTGAATTTGTAATGGCGATGCAGCCCGATAAGATGGCATACTACCATATGGCATACTCGCAGCTGGATGATCCTCCATATACATTGGCGATGGCTCACGCGACTGTGCCTGATAGGATGAGATACCGCCAGGGGGGATGGTGGGGGGCGGATATTCTTGCATTTGCAACGGAGATGGCTCACGCGATGAGCCCCGGTAAGATGAAGTAATGCCCTGTGGCATGGCCTGGGACGCATAATCCTGCATTTGCAACGGAGACGGCTCACGAGATGAAGCCCGATAAAGGGGAGTACTGCCTTGTGTGATGATTCCAGACGAATATTCGCGTATTGGCAAAGGGGATGGGTTGCGACGGGTAGATGAGAGGCTGCCATTTGAGGTGTTTGCATATGGACGTTCCTGCGATTGTAATGGAGGTTGGTCGCGGGATGAAGGTCGAGCGGATGAGACGCTTCCCCTCGGCAGCATTGATGGTGACCGTTCAGGCTCTGCGGACGAACGAGGGGAGACGTTATGTGACGAGGGCCGCGATGTGGATGATGTGGGTCGAGCTAGCGAGCCTTGGTTCCTGACTGCTGTCGCATGCGTGCGCAATGGCCTGGTACTTCGTGAAATGCCGCCAGCCCGAGGTGGTGTTTGAGGAATCGCAGGTGCGGCTGGGCTGGTTGCGGTTGCGCGCCGAGCGACAGATGCTGGTGATACGGCCTCCTTATGCGCCTGGAAGGGTTTCCGCCAAACGGTCTTCTGTTTCTTGGGAGCTGATGTGGGATTATTGATCGGAGAAGATCCCGCTAGCACCATTGGACTAGTAGTATCGCGGCTTACGGGCACAAAGTCTTCACCCAGGAGCTCGACAAAATTTGACGGGAACAGTCCAACCGCGCGCCTGTCACGGCGCAACCGCCCCATCCACCATTGTCCATCGCCCGCATTCAAGCATTCGATCAAGTCACCCTCCACAAATCCCAGATCTCGTGTAGTCTCTCCACCCCATGAATATACTGCTCGGCACCAGCATGGAAACCGCATTGGCAGCTGAGCCATGATGATTACTTGAACACAGTTTCGTCGAGCGCAACCCACGGGATCGACCTAATAGGCTGTTTCAACACCTGGCGCACTTGTGACAAGTCCACGTCCAGGTGAAGGTAGGAAAATGATGTATCAATCGATGAGGTTGTGCTGTTGATTCGAACCCGATACAACACAGCTTGGTCGGATAGGTGACAAGGTCCGCACGGCCGCAGGGATAGCAATGATCGCTCAATCAATCAGCATTGTCGGAATAAGGAGTTTTAATTGGGTATTCAAAATAAAAAGGATTAGCGAATAAAGATTGAACTGCACCAAATGGAGCCAAGGAACCGGTTGCTAAGACGTGAGAAGGTAGAGCGATTCAAATCGGTGAGGCCTAAGACGACAATTGGGGCGTAAACCGGGACTGGGGTTGTTTGTTTGTGGCCCGATCGAGACTAGCGGCGGAGGGCTGGCTTATCGATAAGCTTAATGCAGATTATGTAATATCTCCTGTTTCCCGATCGTTCAAAGGTCATTCCTCTTCCTGGAGGTTATCTCCCTATATTTATGTGTGTGGATTTCTCTAAATCAAGCCCTGCGGTGTCATATTACTCGAGCACCTCGATATATACCCCCAGATGTTGCGACTTCTATGAAAAGGCCGGAGCCGTACCCGATCCATGGTTCGGTACTGAACAACCCTGGTACACTCGACAACAGAGGATCCCTGGCGGATCTTTATTTTCACCTGCTGGGTCTGTATTCAAATGAATAATCCTGAGGACTGCCTTAGAAAGGTGAGATACTCGGGGATTGTTAGATTTAGATCTCTAGGAGAACCTGGAACAGAACTGTCGAGGACTAACTCTTATTATTAGTTATAGATAAGTCTGAGACTAGGAAATCTAGTTTACTACTCCATGCTCAGCGGAGGCATTTTCTTAGTATCCAAGTAGAATAGAAAGATTGAAGACTTGTTGACTTGTTGACTTGTTGATTGTGCAGAATCTCAGACAACTGACGATATATATAAGCTCAGTACTAGTAATTTTAGATTGCTCCTCTTTCCTTCCTTCCAGGCTTTCTTTCGGCCGCGGAATCACACAAAATCCCACACAGTATTATGTCTTGAGCTGAATAGCTATGCTTTAGTCCTCCAAGGGACTACGCATAGACGCTTTAATCCATCCGCACACTTACTCACTTGAGGCAACTAAATCAAAGACAGAACGAAAATTGCAAGCAAGCAATTAGAGCTATTGAAGTCTTTATATTATGCATTAAAACTCCAAAATCGGGAAATTGGATAGCCCATGTCATTCTACAATAGGCTGCCGGATCGGGAATTGCCACATTCTCACCGCGGCCACGGAATCTCTAGCCACGCACAAACAGTCTACTGCTTCGGATCCCTAGACACCCCTTGAATTATCTTGGATCCTGACTAGGAATGACCTTGCATTCCTCGGCCTTCTAGTCTGGGTTAAAAGGGGAAATTGTTTGAGGTCAAAGCTTCCCCAGCCACCTGGACATTCCCTAGTGAACACCCATGCTGCCTATCTTTGCCAAACTATGCAAATTCGACAAACAATAATTTGTCAAAAATGCAAACATGTTTGCGGCTACTATCAAAGGATCATCCAGCCCAGAAGCATGAGGCTTGGGATTATCATAATAATCACAATGCAAACCATTCAAATACTGCTTCCCTGGTCCACGCAGGCAAGCTTTATTGTCGAGATTGATAGGCAAGATTACTCATTCCCTCATATTCCATTGATATACTATACTTTTCTCCGGAATCAATAAGTTCATTAACAATGGACATACGAGGACAAGATTTCAGCTGGCCTTGATTCTGGCTGTACTACCACCATCGGTTTGCACGAGACTATTGAAGTTGATCCTAATGCTGGCTGGGTGGGTCTTAAGTTCGTAAGTGCCGCGTCTAATGGTAGCTACATCGAACCTCAGTTTGCTGAGAGTGTTAACATCTTCAGCGGTGAGCGCTACGCCGCGATGATCAAGCTTGACAAGCCTTAGAAGGAATACACCATTCCAGATACCCAAGCCAATCAGGTATTTTCTGGGTTTGCTACAATGAAATACAAGGGTTCTCAGGACACAACCGCGTCTCAACCTTACGTGGATTACGGCGGAAGAAACACCTCCGCTTTTGTTGTTGCTCTGGAAAACAAGGCTATCAAGAATCACCCTGCTGTCACTATCCCTAAAGCCACCAATCAACTTGAACCTCTCCATTGGCCGTTTGGGCTCGTCTTACACATGGACTACTTCAGGTAGTGGTTTGTACGACATGATGGCTAACTGGGACGACCCGATTCTCTATGAAATGAACGCGAAGAACAACCTAGAGCCGCAGGTTACCATTCAAACCAAAAATGGGACCTGGGTCGATATGTTGCTCTAGTTGGGTGAAATGCCCAACAGTCCTGCCATCCAAGCCCCGCATGTAATGCACAAGCACTCTAACAAGGGTTTCATTCTTAGTTTTAGTCCTGGCATATTCAATTGGTTCAGCACCGAAGAAGCTTATGCTGAATGCCCTGAACTCTTCCAACTAGAGAACCCCCAAATGAGAGATACTTTCGTTACTAATGGACCTAACGGACCAACATGGATGATAGTGCGGTACCAGGTTGTTAACCCTGGACCCTTCATCTCCCACTGCCATATCCAGACTCACATGGCCAATGGAATGGCTGTTGCTCTACTCGACGGTATTGATGTGTGGCCTCAGAGTGTGAGGACTAGATCCCTCCAACCTCAAACTATAGGCTTGGTGGTAGAGGCGTTGCTTAGGTAACGAGTGCCCCACACTAGCTGCAGAGGGCATGTTTCTCAGGTCGGTTCGGCCTCAGTAGCACGAGCTCCATCGCGAGGGCGTGGCTATGCTTTTCTTCCATTCCTGCTAAAGATGACAAGCGTTGGGTTAACTGTGCTCATACTTTTTTTATTTTCATTTATCTTGTAATATAATACTAGCTAGGATACCATACAGTTTTATTTTACTATATTTGTTTATATCGTTCTCCGTTTGTTGTAGAAGATAGTCCGTTTGCGTTCATTTATCGGCAGATCTTAGTCCGTCGTCAATCAATGATTTGATTGCTTGAGAACATCTGGATCGCCATGGGGATCGTCCGACTAGCCACGTGTGTAATCTATGGTTTATTCTAGAATGTCAATTGAGTAGTATCTGATATCGAAGGTGTTGAACATTTTTATTTGAATATCTTATTCATGGCCTAGATGGCACCGTAAGAATGAGAGTGAAAACTTCCAGGCCGCGACCATCTGAAACAAGACTCAATGTCTCAGAAGATAAGTTTTGAAGCTGGAGTCGTGACGTATGAAAAAACATTACAGATGATGCCTGCAGATGATCTACATTTTCTTACTTATTTGAGACATCCCATGCACTATTCTAGATCTTGATGATTCCATGCTGAAGAAGGGTCTTGTATACTTATGTGATCCCCTACTGTTTTGAGAACATTAGGCAAACAAGCCTCTCTAAGATCTTCGATTGAACGTTGATGTATTATTTTATTACTTAAAATTTCTAGTCTAAGAAACAGGGAGATCAATCTAGGGCAAATAAAACCACGTGATACGTGGAAGCAGCGGCTGTAACCTTCCGAATGCAGCGAGATTATCTCCTTGATTGCAACTTCATAGTAATTTTTCTCCAGCACGGGTCTATAGTCTATGATTCTACTATCATATGATAGATTTGTCACGGACATCCCGGCTCACATACCCGTCCAAAATCCTGATCTCTGCTCTGGGGTCATTGCTCGTTTTATCCGCAAACAGCACACGGGTATCCGTAGACTATCATCGGTTTGCCGGTTGCTTTAGTAATTCAAACTGATAATTCAGGATCCAATCGGATTATCCAAGGAAACAAGATTCTAGTTCGGTCCAGCCCATCTCCACATAGGCTCTGCTCAGACAAACATACCGACAATTTGAAGGCGTTATGGAATCGACTGCAGTAACGGTACCATTGGTGTCTTTGAGGATGTATACATCGCAATACCAGAAATACCAATAATAATAATTCTCGCTAATACTAGAGAATATGCGGCTAAGATCATACATTTCCCAATGGGTTCAGCCGAGTTACCATACCGTATATCCTGCTATATCCTGATTCAGAAAAAGTATGGGTCCTAAACCTTATGTTTCCTATTTCGATGCTACTAAGAAAATTGAGAGGCAGTCTATTACAATCTTCCACTGACGACCCACTAATGGAAAATACTCTATAAAGTATGATATCCTTAAGTTTTCGCCTGACCTGAACCTTTCTTCTTTTTCCATATATCTTTGAAACCATTAATCTGCTACCAGGAAGATTATGGAGGGCCCCAGTCATTTGTATCTCTTTGGAGATCAGACTGCGGATTTTGACTCCGGGCTTCGTCGGCTGTTGCATGCTAAGAATGACTCGCTTGTAGCAGCATTCTTCCAAAAGTGCTACTATGCGTTACGCAAGGAAATTACATCGCTTCCGCCATCCGAACGTCAGGGCTTCCCTCGCTTTACTAGTATCGTTGACCTTCTCGCGAGGTTCAAAGAGTCAGGGCCGAACCCAGCTCTAGAGAGTGCATTGACAACAATTTACCAACTAGGATGCTTCATCCAGTAAGAATATTGCCGCCTTGATGATATCGAGATGAGATTTTGGAATCAAACTTACTGACAATGTCTTATAGCTACTATGGTGATTTGGGCCATGCCTATCCGTCGGGTGATGACAGCTGCATCATTGGACTTTGCACCGGTCAACTCGCATCTGCGGCCGTAAGCTCTTCGAAAACTATCGGGGAGCTTATTGCAGCTGGAATTGAGACCGTCCTTGTTTCCTTGAGGCTCGGGATGTGCGTTTTGAAAGTACAAGAGCTCATAGAACCAAGCAAATCGGCAACATCAAGCTGGTCTGTACTAATTTCTGGTATGCACGAGCCCGAGGCCCAGGATTTGATTCAACAGTACACGAAGAAGAATGTAAGTCTTTTCCCCCAAACCGACTTGAAATAAAAGAGGATCATTGTTAATATTTTCAAGGCCTTGCCCCGCGTTTCTCAACCTTATATCAGCGCAGTAAGCCCCAATGGACTCACAATCAGTGGTCCCCCGACTTTTCTGGGCCGTTTCATTGAGTCCAGTCTCTCAAAGGAGCACAAGCCCACAATGGTTCCAATCCACGGCCCTTATCATGCCTCTCATCTATATGATAACAGGGACATTAACCGAATTTTGGAATCGTGGCCTACAGAGAATTTCATGATGTACGTGCCTCAGATCCCTGTGCTGTCAAGTGAGACAGGCAAGGAGCTCCAGGCTGAGAGCCTTGAGCAGCTCTTGAGATTTTCTCTTCAGGAGATTCTACAAAGACAGCTTTGCTGGGGCAAGGTCATCCAATCTTGCCAGTCAATCTTGGAGTCTACAAAAACATGCACTCTGTTCCCAATTTCCAGCACTGCAACCCAGAGCCTATTTAACTCATTGAAAAAGGCTGGAGTCTCCAATCTCGAGGTTGACAGCACACTTGGTGATGTCCGGAAGGATGCTGGTGGAGATAATCGTACCGGCCGTGCTGAGCAGTCCAAAATTGCAATTATTGGTCTTTCAGGAAGATTTCCAGATTCGCCTGATACCGAAGCTTTCTGGGATCTTTTGAAAAAAGGACTGGACGTCCACCGCGAGGTTCCCCCAGAGCGATGGGATGTCAAGGCTCACGTTGACATGGAAGGAAAGAAAAGAAATACCAGCCAAGTCCAATATGGATGCTGGTATGACGACGCGGGCATGTTTGACCCTCGATTTTTCAATATGTCTCCCCGTGAAGCACTTCAAGCAGATCCTGCTCAACGTCTGGCACTCTTGACTGCTTATGAGGCTTTGGAAATGGCAGGCTTCATCCCTGACAGCACGCCCTCTACGCAGAAGAACCGAGTGGGTGTCTTCTATGGAATGACCAGTGATGACTACCGTGAGACCAACAGTGGTCAGGATATTGACACCTACTTTATCCCGGGTGGTAACCGTGCTTTTACTCCCGGTCGCATCAACTACTATTTCAAGTTCAGCGGCCCCAGTGTTAGTGTGGATACCGCTTGCTCCTCAAGTCTTGCGGCAATTCATGTCGCCTGCAATTCCTTGTGGAGGAATGAATGTGATTCTGCCGTGACGGGCGGTGTCAACATCCTGGCAAATCCCGACAATCATGCTGGTCTTGATCGTGGACACTTCCTCTCAAGGACCGGAAACTGTACCACCTTTGATGATGGGGCTGATGGCTATTGCAGAGCAGATGGAGTTGGCTCCATTGTCATTAAGAGACTTGAGGATGCCCAGGCAGACAACGATCCAATCTACGGTATTATTGGAGGAGCTTATACCAACCACTCAGCAGAGGCTGTGTCAATTACTCGGCCTCATGTGGGAGCACAGTCCTTCATCTTCGACAAGCTTCTCAACGAGTCCAACAGCGACCCAAAAGAGATTAGTTATATCGAAATGCACGGAACCGGCACCCAGGCAGGTGATGCAGTGGAGATGCAGTCGGTTCTCGATGTCTTCGCTCCTGACTACCGTCGTGGGCCAACCCAATCTCTTCACCTCGGTTCAGCAAAGTCAAATGTTGGCCATGGAGAGTCCGCCTCTGGTGTCACAGCTCTGATCAAGGTCTTGATGATGATGCGAAAGAACATGATTCCCCCTCACTGTGGCATCAAGACCAAGATCAACCACAACTTCCCGACAGACTTCCCGCAGCGCAATGTGCACATTGCATCTGAAGCTGTCCCCTGGAACAGGCCAAATGGTGGCAAGCGGAAGACTTTCATCAACAATTTCTCGGCCGCCGGAGGCAATACTGCTTTGATGGTCGAGGATGGTCCGCTCAATGACGAGAATGTGGAAGATATCCGGTCTGCGCATCCTGTGCTTGTTTCGGCTCGGTCCCAGTCTGCACTGAAGAATAACATCTCTGCTCTCGTGCAGTACATCGATACAAACAAGAACTCGTTCAATTCCAACGATGCAAGCCTCCTTGCCAATCTGTCTTACACGACTACAGCGAGACGGATTCATCATCCCTTCAGAGTCGCTGTCACTGGATCTACTCTAGATGAAGTCAGGAGTGCATTGGCTCCTATCGTCAACCGAGACAGCATCAGCCCGGCTCCTGCCAATGCACCTGGCATCGGATTTATCTTCACCGGACAAGGTGCTCAGTACACAGGCATGGGACGCCAATTGTTTGATAGTTGCTCCCAATTCCGTGCTCACATCGAACACTTGAATTGTATCTGTGAGAGCCAGGGCTTCCCATCTATTCTGTCCCTGGTCGACGGGAGTGTGCCAATTGAAGAGCATAGCCCGATCGTTACACAGCTCGGAACAACCTGTGTGCAAATGGCATTGACAAAGTACTGGATGTCTCTGGGTATTGTACCTACCTTTGTCATTGGCCATAGCCTCGGCGAGTTTGCCGCGCTGAATGCTTCCGGTGTCTTGACAACTAGCGACACAATCTACCTTGCCGGGCGACGAGCCCAGCTTCTCACTGAACAAATCGAGGTTGGAACGCACGCTATGCTTGCTGTCAAGTCTTCAGTGGCACAGGTCAAGCAGTTTCTTGATGAGGCTACCGAGGTGGCTTGTATCAATGCGCCCAGCGAGACTGTTATCAGTGGCGCAAGCGAGAAGATTGACGAGCTTGCGCAAACTCTTACCAACGAAGGGTTCAAGGCTACCAAGTTAAATGTACCTTTTGCTTTCCATTCAGCTCAGGTTGAACCTATACTTGAAAGTCTGGCTGAAATTGGAAAGGGCGTCAATTTCAACGCGCCCTCTATTCCATTCGTATCTGCCCTTCTTGGAGACGTCATCAATGAGACCAACGGTGAGTTGCTTGGTACCAACTACCTCACCCGTCACTGCCGGGAGACTGTCAACTTCCTGGGTGCTCTTGAAGCTACCCGGCACTCCAACTTAATGAATGACAAGACTATTTGGGTTGAGATTGGCTCTCACCCGGTCTGCTCCGGAATGGTCAAGGCAACTTTCGGTCCTCAGGCAACTACTGTGGCATCTCTCCGTCGCCAGGAAGACACGTGGAAGGTTCTCTCAACCAGTGTTTCAGCTCTCTATATGGCTGGAATTGACATTCGATGGAAGGAATATCACCAGGACTTCACTGGACACAAAGTTCTCCCACTCCCTTCCTACAAGTGGGATCTCAAGAACTACTGGATTCCTTACACTAATAACTTCTGTCTGCTCAAGGGTGCACCGCCGGTATCAGTGGCTGATGCTGCGCCAGTTTCTGTTTTCTTGTCATCGGCAGCACAAAAGGTTTTGGAGACGAGTGGTGACAATTCGTCGGCGTCTATCGTCATCGAGAATGACATTGCTGATCCCGACCTCAATCGTGTCATTGCAGGTCACAAGGTGAACGGTGCCTGCCTTACTCCATCGGTATGCATATTCTTTTCTCATTTAACAGTCTTGCTTGCTAATTGATTTTTAGTCCCTGTACGCCGATATCGCCCAAACACTTGGTGAATATCTAGTCCAGAACTACAAGCCAGAATGGAAAGATCGCGGATTTGATGTCTGCAACATGGTGGTCCCTAAGCCGCTTATTGCAAAGGGAGGCAAGCAGCTCTTCCGCGTTTCAGCGACTGCAAACTGGGCCGAAGAAAATGCCAAGGTGCAGGTGTGGTCTGTGACCCCCGAGGGGAAGAAGATCCTTGACCACGCCACTTGCTACATCAAGTTCTTTGATCCCAGTACTTACGACGTCGAGTGGAAGCGCAGCTCTTACCTCATCAAGCGAAGCATTGAGCATCTCCAAGAGAGCACTGTATCCGGCCAGGCTCACCGCATGAAGCGAGGAATGGTCTACAAGCTCTTTGCTTCTCTGGTTGATTATGACGAGAACTACAAATCCATTCGGGAAGTCATCCTCGACAGTGACCAACACGAAGCTACCGCTCTGGTCAAATTTGAGGCTCCTCCGGGCAACTTTCATCGCAATCCATTCTGGATTGACAGCATTGGTCACTTGTCTGGCTTCATTATGAATGCTAGTGATAACACCGATTCGAAGAACCAAGTGTTCGTCAATCATGGATGGGACTCGATGAGGTGCTTGAAGAAGTTCGATCCGAGCGTCACTTACCGCACCTACGTGAGGATGCAACCCTGGAAAGAGTCTATTTGGGCTGGTGATGTCTATATGTTTGATGGAGATGACATCGTTGCTGTGTTTGGTGGTGTTAAGGTACGTCGAAAAACCGTCGTAGTATTCTCGAATGAAACACTAACAGAATGCGACATAGTTCCAAGCTCTGGCACGAAAGATCCTCGACATGGCTCTTCCTCCAGCTGGAGCGGCATCCAAGCCGGCCGCCAAGCGTGTTCCTGCTCCCGTCAATATCGAGAAGGCAAAGACTGGCTCTGCCAAAAAGGCTGCCCCTTCACCAAGATCTGGAATGCCAAGTCTGACTATGCGTGCTCTTGCAATCCTTGCTGAAGAGGTCGGACTTTCGGCATCTGAGCTGACTGATGACCTCAACTTCGCTGATTACGGAGTTGACTCCCTTCTCTCGCTGACTGTCACTGGGCGATACCGCGAGGACATGGGACTCGATCTTGACTCCACTATCTTCGTGGATAATCCAACTGTCAAAGACTTCAAAAATCTTCTAGCTCAAATGAGCCCTAGTGAAAGTAGTGACGGATCAAGCAGTGAAGGTGACATGTCGTCGGCCGCATCTTCGACCGACTTGTCGACTCCAAACAGCAGTGGTCTGCCAAGTCCTGCAAATGAGAAGCCGATGGCACATGGATCGCAGGAGCAAAATGACAGCATGAGGCAGATTGCCTCAATCTTGGCCGAGGAGATCGGTGTGGAACCCGAGGAGCTCGATGGGGATGCGAACCTTGCTGAGATGGGCCTAGACTCATTGATGTCGCTCACCGTTCTCGGTAAAATCCGTGAAGATCTTGATCTTGATCTCTCGGGAGAGTTCTTCATTGAGAATCAAACACTCGATGATATCGAGACTACCTTGGGTCTAAAGCCTAAGCCAGCCCCTGCGGAGCCAATCAGATTCCCCGAACAAATCCCTGTTCGAGCCCCGGTGGTCGCTCCCAGCACTACCCCCCAGCACCCGCCGGCCACTTCAATCCTCCTGCAAGGAAACCCAAAGACAGCGACTCAGAGTTTGTTTTTGTTCCCTGATGGCTCTGGCTCTGCTACCTCCTATGCTTCCATCCCTGGAATTTCTCCCGATGTGTGTGTCTATGGACTGAACTGCCCATACATGCGCACCCCTGAGAATCTCAAGGCCAGATTGGACGAGCTCACAGCTCCTTACATTGCTGAGATTCGGCGCCGCCAGCCCACTGGCCCTTACAACTTCGGTGGCTGGTCCGCCGGTGGTATTTGTGCGTACGACGCCGCGCGCCAACTGATCTTCGAGGAAGGCGAGCGAGTCGAGCGCCTGCTGCTTCTTGATTCGCCCTTCCCCGTTGGACTGGAGAAGCTGCCTCGCCGCCTGTACAGCTTCTTTGATACGGTCGGACTGTTTGGAGAGGGCAAGGCACCTCCACCTAAATGGCTTCTCCCTCACTTCCTGGCTTTCATCGATTCCCTGGATGCTTACAAGGCGGTTCCCTTCCCTCACACAGACCCCAAGCTGGCCGATAAGCTCCCCAAGACCTTCATGGTCTGGGCCAAGGATGGTGTCTGCTCCAAGCCAGGTGATGCCCGCCCTGCACCAGCTGCAGATGGTAGCCCAGACCCTCGTGAGATGCTCTGGTTGTTGAACAACCGCACTGATCTCGGTCCAAATGGTTGGGATACCCTCGTCGGCCCGAATCATGTCGGCGGAATTACCGTTATGGAGGATGCCAATCATTTCACTATGACTCGTGGCGAGAAGGCCAAGGAGCTGGCTACATTCATTGCTAACTCTATGGCTTCGGCGTAAACGTATTGCATTCGGGGACTGTGACATGTCTATTTCCAGGAGATTTAGACATTCGCTCTTTTCTCTTCTACTTATCTGTCCATTTTGTATGCTGCTGTCCAGGACAAAGTATTTCTTTCCTTCCCTGTCTTATTATCTCAGTGTATACATAATCCATAATTTTGCGGCCCTTTGCTACTTTTTGCTTACATTTTAATTACCGAATACGAAATCCAGATTGATGTTTTACATTTGGAAGAATCGTCTTTATTTTCTCAAAAAAAAACTAAAGCACTAAGATGTCTGTCATTGGATCTGTGGCGAAAAGAACTACCATGAAAATCGAATGAAACAGTTGACTTGCTTGGAGATGACAAGACTCAGATAATGTTGCATCCAAGACCCGGTTTTCTCTCGCAAAACGAAAATCGCTCATGGGTAAATGTGGAGTCGCAATGGATGAAACGCCAGGAAGATGCAATGTCGTAATGAGCGGATGAAAGGAATAAATATCTAGCTAATGTGATGGTGAAATGCTTCGCAAAGAGCAAATGCCCCGTCTATGTATCGTGTATAGACGTCATAGATTGGTGTAGGAAAAATGAGTGGCAAGAACATGATCAATGGCAGGGGACATGAAAGTTTATGGGATATTGTGTAATACCCTCAGAAAGGCACCTCTGAGCTGTATCGTAGCGCACTGCCCCTGCCCCCATGACCGCCATTACCGTTACCATTATGACCAACCCCGGGGCTGGTCGGACGGCTGCCCGCCCACTTGGGGCTTCGTGGTTGAGTGCTAGTCGAGCGAGTTGACGGACGATTCTTCCGGATTTCACGAAGCTCTTCTTCCTTCCTTTGTAGGAATTCGTCGCGCGAAGCCAGAGTTAGTTCTAGCTCTTCAATCCTAGCTAGATGGCGAACCGACTCATCCTTCATGTGCAACTCACGAAGTTGCACGGCATTGCTTTCGGCCTTGCGCTTTAGTCTCTCATTCTCAGTGGCCAAATGGCGGTTTTCTGTGCCAGACTGAGCGGCCGCGGTAGACGCAGTTTGGTATTGCTCTCGGGTGTACTCGGATTGGTTTTTCTCAAACTCAGCTTTGCGCTCAAGGTTCGAATTTTCTTTGGTCAGACGACGGATTTCCTCCCGTGCCATCTCTAGTTCAGCATTACTGCCACCGCCATTTTTGAGTGCCTGTCTAGCTTCGTCGAGCTCGCGCTTCAGCTCTGCCCGTTCTTGTTTCAGACTAGAGATAGTCTCTTTTTGTTTCTCGACGCGCTGTTCTAGAGACGGCTTGTGCTCAACCACACGATCACGCTCTTGGCGAGTTACATGGAGTTCCTTCGTCCGACTCTCGTAACGGTGTTGTAGAATACCCAGAGCTCTCTCCATTTCTCGGAATCCAGAATTTGCCCGAGCAAGCTCAGCCTGCAGCTGGGCTTTTTCACTTGCGTGAATGTGTTTCATCTGGATAATATTCTTCTCCAATGAGATCAAATCACGGTCCAACGTTTGAGTGGGAGGCTTAGTTGACTCGGTCAACTGGCTGTCCTCTTGGGTACCAATCCGTGCGCGCTTCGACGAGTGTTCATCGGGTTTCTCATCCTGCCCCAAAGCGTTAGCTGAATTCAAATACATCAACATGTGGTATAATTACCAGTGTGCGTTTATGGGCCGGCGGCATCGCCTCGTCAGATGAAGAACTGTCGCACTCTAACTCCTCCAGTGATACAAGGTTCAAAGGTTTAATGGTAGGCAATGGCCAACCAGCAACACTATCCAAGAGATATCCAAGAATCTCTTCGGCATCTTCAGACGCGCCGAGGGCATCATCCTGGAGCTCACCGGCCTCGTCATGGAAACGGGCAATGTAGTGCACAAGTAAACGCAATCGATCAGGATCCGGCGACTCGGGCAAACAACGCTCGATATGTTCACTAGTGTTGGCGACAAGAAACCAAATGACGGGAAGCAAGCTCCCGTTTCGGGCATAAGTCGTTCGGAGATGCTGTATGAACGGGCTTTTGGGTTTGAAATACGAATCCAGGGCAAAAATAGCAGACGGCGGCTTGTAAAGTTCACGGGCGGTCTCACTCGAATGAATTCCAAAGCTCAGTGACCCCTTGGCTAGGGAAACCTCCAAGGTGCTACCCATCTCTGCACGGGGTCGGGTGTATGCAAAACCTTTCCCTTGGAGATAACGCTCGAGAACTCCCTGTTTCTTCTCGTCTTGTACAGCGAGAATCAGATGGAGCTCGTGTGTACCTACAATCTTCATGAAATGACCAAGTAGGAAAAACTTTGCACTGGACATTTCCGCCCAGGATGCCTCTTCCGCAAAGTCAGGGTCGGTATTTTTCAAATGATTGGCGAAATTCAAGTCTGGATAGGTTGCAACATTGCTCAGCCGGGCGATGACCTCCCGCATATGTGAATGCAAAACCTCTCGCTGTGAAAACAATGTAAGCAATGCGAATCATATCCCAGAAACATCCTACTTGCCTCAGGCTCCGAAACTTGAGTATTCGACTGAAAGCTATCAAAAAATTTGCGTATGCATGTAGCTGCATCTGATAGTACTCGCTCGTAGTGATCCTTCACACGTGCATTCATCGGAAGAGGGACAGCAAATTCAGATGGCCCAAGGTGGACAGAACCGGGCGCAACCACCTCATCCATGTCGGTGACGGTCAACGCACTGGGATGAATAGTTTGAAGTGAAGGTTGGCTCATATGAGCTTCGTGCGCTAGTTCCGAGGGTGGTAGTAAAGGTTCAGAATGACCATGGTGGACTGCAGTATGGGAATTGGAAAAAGAGTCTGTGTCGGGTCTGACGCTAAGCAGAGCAGTTGTTTCGGGGATAGACACAGGCATCGAAGCTTCAACATCCCCCACAGAAGACGGAGTTTGGACAGCGTTAGCTGGTTGCGATAGCTCTGATTGATTCGCTTCGCTGAGTTTAGCCCAGGCGTTCCGTATCATTTCCGTGGGAGTGGACCCTGGCAATTGTCCGTATCGGTCCAAAGTGGCAGCGGAGAGAGAAGGATCTGATGGCTTGGGCTCTTTGTCTTCCATGATTTCGCCAAATGGTTCTTCTTGTACGAGATTAGAAAATGATGGCATTGGTCGGGTGAAACCTTCAGCACTGAGCTCTTCTGGGTGCTGTGACAGGTTTTGACAGACTGTTTCCGGAATTGAGCTCAGATAAGTTGACCGGACGAACACGCAGTCTGTGAGAATGTGAGCAAAATGTGAGCAAAATGTAAAACTTGATTTTGCATGTGAAACTACCTCTCAGGATGGAGCCACACGAGCCAAAAGTCAAATTGTTGTGAGATGGGGTATTATAAAAAGGATAGGAGCCGGGGCACGAGAAATCGGTTCCTAAACTTGATGGCTGAACAGGCGTCTCGGCTATTTCGGAGACGTTGGAGCTCAGTCCAACACCCGGCGTGTTCGGGTGTGATAATAATTCAGAAACGTTGTTGATTTCCGCAGAGTACTGTCGATGCGATGAGCATCTATTAATTAAATCGGCCTTTTGGTCACAAACCGGGCCAGGCTGCTGCGTATTGACGTCGTCCCACTCACCTCGTTGCGGGTATTCAGGTGGAATAGGTGACTCAGGGATGTATTCGTCGGCTTGCAGGCGAGGGTTTGTAGATGGAGATTGAGGTAGAGAGGCGGTCCCGTAAAAGCAGCCCGAGACTTCAATGTACTGAGATTGAAGAGAGTCTACTATCTCTGAAATGTTGTCTTGTTGCACAAATAGCGACGAGGAAGCTCTTGAATGATTATCAGAATCAGTGTCCTCAGTCTCGTCGAAGGTAGTGCGGTAGCTGTCCCCTTGGCCTGTGTTCTCTTCTGATGATGAGGAAGAGACTTCGACGACGCTGGGCGATTGAGTAATCCTCCTACTTGTCGACTTCCTATCTAGCGCACTTGATCGCCGAGCTTTTTGCTTGTTCCAGACCCGTATAGCAAGCTCACTTGCGTTCTCTTTGGGTTCCTAAACAAGCAAAGCGCGCATTTGTTAGTTCAAGCTCGGCAATCATTTCTTTGATGCCTTTTATGTCCAATATTGCCACGGGAACTCACCCAAGTCGGATCGTATGGACCCTCCCAATCAATGAGATACTCGGTGTCTGTTTCACGGAGGATACACTTGATAGGCCACTCCTCGTCGTCCAAGTCACTACCGTCGCTGCTCTCACTGCTGTCGCTAATAACCACAATTGTAGCTGAAGGCCGGTCAGTATTCTTTCTGTGGTGACTTTGGAGTTTCGGCGAGCGAAGCTGCTCCCGAAGCATCATGTGCGGGCGATTAGTGTCGGGGAGATGTTGGATAACATGACGGGGTGAAATGAGAGCGTAGGTTCAATACTCAATATAAGCTCATATGAGCTGCATTGATCCGAGACACATACAATTTTTAATTCTGGGCAACATCTACCACTTCCCCAAAGCACTGTGACGGTATATGAAAGAGGGTAAACGCATGGCGCGACGGGCGGACGGATAGTGAGCCCGCTTCACGTGATAACGCTTATCGGTAGATCTACAATATTTGAGAATAGTGACATGCTGATCAAGGGTTATAAGCTCATATATCTATTTAATGATTCAAAAGATGCAAAACTAATGGATTTCTAATTGATTTAGATCACCGTTAATGCTGTAGGTACTGGTTGAGATGTGACATTGTACCATAATCATCACTGATCATCTTGTTGCCTCTTCCACTCTTCAAAGTCGAAACCGAGCTCCGCTAGATCCTTGATCTCGCTCCGTGCGTCACCCCGTTGTACGAAAGCACGTCTGATTTCTGGGAAATGGGCCCGCATCCATCTTTCCCGCTCACCCCACCGAGTACCAAGTTTGCCTTGTCCGTTGTTAGAGAGGCCAGGTCGTGGGTTGGCCTTCTCCGCCCAGTCGTAGAGAAAATTGAGGTAGTCAGCATCCATGGGAAATGGAAGCAAATGGAAATCCTTTCCATCTCCTTTGGCTTCAATTTCGGAAGCTTCCCATGCCTTCATCTCATCTTTTGGTGGAAGCGTAAGCCGCGCAGACCATACACGAGAGAAGACAGCAGCGTGGTTCTCAGCCATAGGGAATGGAATCACCCGCTGCGAAAGCACGGGGAAGACGAGAGTGGGGTGCTCTATATAGAATAACTGCTGGTAGACATTCATTGTTCGCCATCCGTGGGTCACAACCGGTGGGTTGAGTGAGGATAGGAAAGGATATGAATAGAAATAGCCGGTGCAGAAGACAACAGCGTCAACATGTTCCTCGATGCGACCATCCGCAAATTTTATACCTCTGTCATAGGTTGTCGAAGGAAGAAACTCGACTATCTCCGGGCAGATGATTTTATCGTCATTTGCGGATGCAGCCAAGTATGATTCAGATCGTTGGGAGACCAACAGCTTGCCTTGGCTTACTTCATTGATCTGGGAACCAATGTCCAGGCCCGAAGCAGAACTTCCAACCACCACAACTTTCTTTCCTTGGAAAGGTTCTGGGGAGTTGTAAAACTTGGAATGAGAGATAGCACCTGGGTATGATGCATCCCAGGCTTGTATTCCTAGGATGTCAGGTATGTAAGGGACCGTGAAATGACCGCTTGCAACCACCACAGCATCATATGTGTGGGTTGTGTCTATGCCAGTTTGAAGACTCTTTGATGTTAGACTCCAAGTGCTCAGACTTTCATCCTTGAGTTTCACTTCTAAGACTTGTGTCTCAAAGTGAATGAGGCCTTTGACGTCTTCGCCATATTCTTCGAGGTATTGTTTCACCGTCCGATGCTTGGGGAAGAGCTGGGATTCCAATGGGAAGGCCTTATCCGAGTAGCGCATTAACTCCTTAGGGATGTTGGTTTCCAGTCGATCGTATACTGGAGACACGAATGTTGCCTCACGCCCCCCATTGTGATCGATCCACACTGGCTTCTCGACTGGCTCATGGGGGGTTAAATGTGGGACAGCTGTTGATCTCCCTTCTTTAGAGGAGCTCGGACTGTAGTTCCAAACTCCTCCTACGGAGCTTCTTTGCTCGAAGACTTCGATTTGATCGAAATATTTCTCGGCGAGCAGGTATCTGAGTCGGTCAGCATTGTCATGTTGGCGGATGTGTAACAACCCCGCTTACTTGACTGCAGCAAGGCCGGAGGGCCCCGCGCCGATGACAGCCACTCGCCGAATAGTATTTGTGATTGACATGCTTTCAACGAGCTCTTGGGAATTCCTGGTAACCTATGTAGTCAGAAATGCGAAGGTGAGTTGCGAGAAAAAAGAAGTGACCTTGGAGGATGCCAAGCGCTTTCGCCATAGTGGAGCTGCTTTTTATATCCGGTGTCTTATAGCGTAGACCCATAACGACATGAAGAATACACTACAAGAATGTTTTCACTATATTCACGTTCAAAAGCAGTGCATAATCCTCCGTATGTGACTATATAATAAGATCGACCAATCAGCAAGTCTTATTGGACATGGACAATCCAACCGAAGAGGGTAACTTTCGTTCTCCCAATACCGAAATTACGCCCTTTTCTTGCTGTTTTTACTGTAACATTACCCAACAGAGCTGCAGCTGCCGAAGGTCCTCTTTGTTGCACGAAATATTCATCTTCATTTCCTTTCAGCCCAGTTTTATATACTCGCATTTTTACCCTTCTTATTTTATATCGACTATTACTCCTGTTTGATATGAGGCCAGCTTGATAAAACAAAAGTCAGTCGGGCGTGGGCAAACCGGCGCAATGAACGCGATTGAGCAGTCTCCCGCGTCGAATGCGCTGGCGCAGTTGACCAGGGTCCCGATAGCTCAGCTTTCCCCAGACCTTGAGAAATTGGCCGAGAAGTCTTTTCTTGCAGCTGTAGCACTTGTGTGGCCATACTCCTCTTCGATCAAGACTGTGAGCCTTCTATTAGCGGAGCCGGACTTCCGCCTGAGGGGCGCCAGAGGACAAATCAAGGTCACGTTCCACGGACGCGTCGCAGAAAGGGTCGCGGAATCGCATGTCGGAATTGGGGATACCGTTAGTCTGGCCTTGAAAGACATCAAGTTTGTCAGCAACGAAGACGCCCAGAAAACCCCGGGGAGGTCTGTCGCATGGGATGCGCACTTTGAGAATGGCGTATCTCTCGAGGTATGTTGCTCCCAAACTCGATATGTGTCTTATGGTGACTAACTGCTGCCTATCTAGATCTACCGATCTTCCCAACCTCCGTTGATAATATCGGTTGAGCCGCAAGTGACAGCACCGCATGAAACCGAACCAGCATCGCCTACAACCCCTAGTGGCAAATCAATCAATCCCGAATTCGACCTGCCTTCTAGTGAACGGCCCTGGGGATCACCTATGTTCCTCAATTCTACTCGAACCCCACTTGGGGGAACAATCCGTTCCGCTTTCGATCCTTTTACGGAAGAAGATGGATTTGTGCCAGGGAAAGGAAGAAAAAAGCCGAGGTACAGCTTGCACAGGGAAGATTGGCGTGTTGTCAATGAACCCGAAAGCCCTCGCGAGCAAGAAGCTCCTGTGGATTGGGAACAGGCTTTGAATCAATCTATCGATCAAGAACTCGAGGCAGACTCGGCGAGTGAGGCTTCCATGACGGATGATGTCGAAGCTCCAACATACACAGAGGATGCACCACAAGAGCCACTTCCAGTGTTTGCGAAGCCTTCTCTTGAATTGACCGGGAGTATCCTCGAAAGACATGCCGCCGAGTCAAATGTTGTGTCTCATGGACAAGTTGATGATCATGAAACACTTTTCCATCTGCCAACGGATACGCCGCAGATTCGACCCATCCCTTCTCCGGGGCTCCCGATTCCTTCGCCACTCGTATCAAATCATGCTGGCTCAACTAGCTATTTCCTGCCATGGACCGCGCCCACACAATTCCAAGAGATTGGATATGCTCAGGCGGGAATGGATACCATAGCAACGCCCGCAGCATCCTCCATCGAAACCCATGATACCGACACCATCGATTCCATTCACGCAGATCTAGAAACAGTTGATCCGGATGTTGAATCCGTCCAGCAGGAACATGTCTTCGATGCTGGGTTTATCCGCAATGATTCGGCATCATATCCAGGCTCAGAAGATTTACCGGAGAAGCAGGGAGTTGAGATAATCGACTCCATAGCTATTGATGGGTCAGATGTCGTCGAAGCTGACATGGCCATTGATACTACTGGCGACAAAGCTCAAATGTCAAATGAACTAGAGCAGTATTCTGCTTTTGATGATCCTAACCTATCCCACGACCATCCAGCACGACTTTCGGACTCGGAAGATAAATTGGATGACTCCCCCAATACCAAAGATGAATCACCTGCCGCTCAAGCTGATGTTGTTACCGAAAATGTCGCCGACGAAGCTCAGGCGTCAGATGAAACATATCAAGAACATCTCGTTGATTCCAGTCACCTATGGCGCGATAACTCAGGATCATCCTCACCTTCGGAGGATGGGCAAGATGAATCACTCGAATCCTCAGAAGAGGTCGATGGATCAGATATTGCTCAACATGATCTTGGCATCGAAACTGCCAGCGACAATTTGGGATCTCCTCAATATCCGGGTGAATCTCGTGATGAGAAACATCCTGAGCCAGAGACTCACTTAGTCCACTATCCACAACTAGGGTTCACGTCTGATCAGGATGCGATCGATGCCCTCGGAAAAATGATAGCCGCTCGAGATGAGGAATACCAAAAGATGAAAAATACAGAAGAGGAGAAAGAAAGCGAAAAGGATGTCGATCGTCCACCCAGTCAAGGATACCGTGAAGAAAAGGATGAAGAAGTGTACTATGCGGAGTCAGTGGAAAATTACGATTCTCAATGTGAATCCGAAGAGGACGAGGAGGATTTATATGGTGATCCTAGTTTGGAATCACGATTGGACGAAGATGACTTCGGTGTCGTTGAATCTAGTGGTGAAAAGCCTGAGCAGGAACAAAAGCTGCCCTCGCAGGCGGGAAGCCATGAAGTAATCGTGCTGGACAGTGACAGTGATGATGAGTCTGCCTCCAATCATCCGGTAGCCTCAGCTTCGCAGTCAGCAGAACGAAACGATCACTCATACTGCTCTAAATCCGAACATCCCGCTGTCCCTCCAGCTGCAGCCGAATTTGCAAGTGGTGTACAGGAATATCCAGAGCCGTGGTATCTTGACGGAAAAGACTATCACGGAGTAGTGGAAGACGATTCCGATACTGATGAACGCCAAAGCGAAGACAGTGAAGAGAGCGAAGACATTGAAAGGAGTGAATACGGCGGAGAAAGCGAAGACAGGGAAGCGAGGGAAGACAGGGAAGACAGGGAAGACGAGGAAGAGGGGGAAGACGAATACAATCAACAATATGACCGAGTTTACGAAAGTGATATGGATGATGATGAGTCGTCCCAAGACCACTATGAAACGGACCGTGCATCTGAAGTGGCATCACCCAACCTTGAGCAAGATGAAGATAAACAAATTAAACATGCGGAGCTCATCGAAGAAGCTGACAACGACGAATATTATACTGTGGCCAACCCTCACGCACAGATAGGAGTGCCAGTCGATCGAGACTATAACGAGGGGCAATCAGGCAATGCTGATCCAAACTTGCTTGATGGGCCTGAATCTCATCATCAAGGTCCATCCTTGGAAGGCAAAAATCATGCTGGGCAGTATCTCACTGGGGACGGACAATTTGATTTGCATATTCCTTCGTCTGCTAGAAATACCATAGCCGATTTCCCGTTGAAGCATGAGCCGACTGTCGAAGAGCCAACTGTCGAAGGACCTGAGCCACTTGGCGGTCGAGTCTCGCCGTCCACTACGTCTCCATTGAAGCGACAACCCTCAACATCAGACCCCACCCAGAAAAATGCATCCCCGCTTGAACTGATTCATGATTTTGAACATCAAGCTTCATCCACGATCGAAGAAACTGAAGCCCCTACTGGTCTTGATAAAACTTTGCTGCTGGCTGACTCCCCAGTGTCAGACCAAGACGATGGTATCGGGGCGGGACTCATAAAAAACACACAAGAGATCCACGTTGACAGACATGATGATGCCGTGGCTCCTTCGGAATCCGTTGAAGCCGCAGAACCCACAGCAACACCCGAACCTGGCCGCTCTATGGATGTTGTGATTGAATCTCCGAACACATTGGCAGTTCCCATTCCACAGCCCTCAGTTCCCGACCGTAATGCTTCTGGACTGCGGAGCGAGCTTTCCTACTTCGCACCACTTGCTACACTCATTGATCATTACAATGCTCTAGTCGATACCATCTCAATCGTACATGAAGCTTCGCCGATAACCCGGGCCAAATCTAGTCCAAAAGACTGGTTCGTGACTATTGAACTTACCGATCCATCTATGGCTGGCATGACTCTTCATGCTCAAATTTTCCGGCGCCACAAGGCCTCGATGCCAACATTGGTAGAAGGCAACGCCATACTCTTACGCGACTTCAAGGTCCAGAGTTTCGATCACACCATGATGCTTGTCAGTGCCGATACTAGCGCGTGGGCAGTATTCGACGGTTCGGGTCCCGAGGCCGAGACGAACGGACCTCCTGTCGAATATGACTCGCAGGAACGTGCGTACGCGTCTGGCTTACGTCGATGGTACGATGAAATTGGCTCGGCTAGGGTTGCGGACCATATGCTCCAGGCAGCTATTGAGAGAGACAGAGAGGAGCGCGATATGACACCAGGCAGTCAAGTGCGAAGTGAGTCAGGGACCCCAGATTCTAAGCGAGGCTCGCAGCGCAAGCGCAAGAGCACTCGAAGAATCACGATCCATGAGCTGCGTGATGGCACTCGTTATACGGAGGTCGGGTCCCCAAACAGTCGGAACAGCAGTGTTCACGAATTACGGGATGGCACGTTGTATGCCAATATTTGAAATGGTCGTCTTAAAATCTTGATTCTTGTGTGGTGTCTCTGTTACAATTCACCTGTACCTACCGAGTAAAACAAAAGAATACATATGAACGATCAAGGGATTCGCAGTCTTCCACCCCCGTTCTCTATCTCTTGGCTTTCTCGTTCTGATCATCATGTGGCAAAATCTCATTCTTTAAAGGGGGAATCATAGCTTTCTGGGTTTTCCAAGTGGTTCTAATAATGTGACAAGTCCCAATAGCCTTACCGGTACCGGAATCATTATGACTTACTGCCAATAGATGGAAACGTGTGTTCTGTTCGTTCTTGCCTGGCCAGTCGTAGTAGCGAGGTCTGAAGATGACGCCATATCCCGAATAGCCATTGACATTGCAGCAGCGACATTCTCGTTGTGATCGCGACTAGAAGCCCGCAAAAGACCATGGCTAGTACCTACTAGATAAAGGATAAACTTCTATATAGATGGTTTCCTTGTTATTTAGTTTGTTTTCTTGATCTGCTATGTCGGACACTACAGGTTCATTTGCTGGTACGGGATGAGGCTCAACTGGGAGGGCTGAAATGCGGCTGAACAGTGGGGCCTGCTTCAGACTTTGCAAGAATCAGCAGAGTCGGAACACCTACCCAGGTAGGCTCCTCGAAACCTTCAGGCAACTGTATGTGCTCTTGGAAGTTTGTTACACCACGTCGTCAAATGTATACGTCTCATACCACTACCAAAGCGGTATGAGAAGCGAAAGCGGTGGGTATATATTTCTCAAACTTCCTCTGCATTCTATTTCATTATATCCTCACTAGAAAAGCAGCGAAAATACGCAGATTACGATGTGCAAGAAGACGATACACCGGATACAAGGCTGTTAGCGATACAGAAATGGCGAGTCTGCACACTTTTCATATTCGATATATCCAACAATTATTATGATCCCACACTGGGCCATCTTGCCGAACAGAACAAACTGCCAGTCGTCGTGGCCATCTCAGCCGCAGGAAAGTTGCTTACAAACCTCATCCGGGAACACGCGAAAGGATCAATAAAGATGTGGCATTTTTTCATGATGCAACTGGCTTCGGGGGTACTCCGCCGTTTATTGAAGATCACACCTTGGAGAGCCCGCCTGTGTATTCAAATTCACGCAGTCTCGTAAACTCGGGCCCATGAAGCAAAATTACGGCAGTTTCTGCATACATGGAGTCGAGTAATCACAGCAGTGCAAGATGCATGATGCATGATCTTTAAGGACTCCTCCCCGCCAGACCAGTTCAGATGCCTAAACTTCAAAGAGACATACCTACTGTCTATGCTGTATGTAGTACAAATTAGGAATGTCCCACTGTTGACGGGGTAGTGGGATCAACGATTCACGTGCTCTCTTCCCAACGTTCCCTTGAATCTCTGCCCAACCCCGTGTCCTTCCTTTGATAACTAGGATCATCCCAAAAACTCCGAAAATCACAGTCGAGTAACAAGTTGCATGATTGGCTGGAGTAAATGGATTTGTAACTAAGAGACATATACTAGTTACTCCGTAGTTAAATATGATCATCCTCGGAGCGTACCTACTCCGTAGAGAATCCACAATATAGACATTTAGTGGAGCACACCTTAACTCTCTCAGAGTGGAACCTTCCAAGAAAATAACCTGATTAGTCATCACAACTTGCCAGCCACCAAGTTAACTAACTAGGCAGGTGCAGATATCCTTGGCCCATTATATATCAAGGTCCTATTCGCAGCACGTCTTGATGAGATGTGAACGTCTCTCAATTTATCTCTAGAAACAATGAATCAATTGGCGAAGCGCACAATCTTCTCCCTCGCGAGAAAGCCGATCTGGCATCTGCCTTCCAGGTCCGCACTCCCCATTCCACAGCATGAAGCTGTGGATGAGGAGATCTGTCCCGGATACAGCCCCAATCACTTTTACTCGGCAAACCCCGGGGACATTCTTGCTAGTCATTATCAATTACTGGTGAAGATTGGTTGGGGAACTCGATCAACAGTCTGGCTAGCTCGAGATATCACAAGGTACGCTAATCTATCTCTTGCCGTTCCACTTTTGCCCTCTTATCACATAACTAATTGATGAAGACTTCGATGGCAGTCAGAACGAACAGTCGCCCTAAAAATAATAAACTCCTGCCGTGATCGCGAGCCTTACCATGAAAGAGACATTGAGGAGCACATTACACGGCAGAATCCATCTCATCGCGGCCGCGCCATCGTGCGAACCTGTCTGGAGAGTTTCGAGGTGGCTAGTACAGAAGGAACCCACCTATGCTTAGCCTATAAACCAATGCGCGAGCCTCTCTGGATTCTACAACGACGTTTCGTTGATCGGAGACTCCCTCTACCGATCGTAAAAGCTTACATATTTTTCCTCCTGGTTGGCCTCGACTTTCTTCATTCTGATTGTGGAGTCGTTCATACTGGTGAGTACCATTTCCTTTCCATTTTTTATGATATAAAGAACTAATTTAATGAAATCATCTTAGATTTGAAACTAGATAATATTCTTATGAGTTTTGAAAATGAAAGTGTTCTTTCCGCATTTGTTAAACTACAGATCAACGAAGTACCTATGCAATACAAAGTCGACATAATGACCGGTCGTACCGTTTACCGCTGCCACAATGATTTTGGGGCTCTTGATTGGACAAACCTTAAGAATATGGTACCCAAAATAGCTGACTTTGGATTATCGACACGTCTAAGCTATGATTCTCCGAAAAAAGAGGCCGGAGGGGACCAAACTGGCATATATCCCATACAGCCTGACCACTACCGTGCACCGGAGGTAATTCTTGGCTGTGGTTGGGATTCTAAGGCAGATATTTGGAATTTTGGTGTCATGGTAACGTCTCCCCCGATTCTTTCTCTGTCTGAGTATCACGAACAAGGCTTATCCCTCAAATCAGATGTGGAATATTATTGAATGCACAGAGCTATTTCAGCAAGTCCATGATATGGATGGTCGATACGACTCCAAGTCACACCTAGCGGAAATGATCGCGCTTCTCGGTCCTCCTCCGGAGAAATTAATTGCGAAGGAAAATGCCATGGCACAGCACAATTGGCCTCATCCTATCAGTAATGAAGCCGGTATTTCCTGCAGCAATGCACGAGAATACTTTGATGGACCTTTCTTCAGTGACGAAGGTTTGTAGTTAATCATGCAAGTGAAATTTGTCTTCCTTTTCGCTAATATGCCTAGGGAAATTCCTCTACGATGACTTGATTCCCGCCCGAAGTCTAGAAGCTACACTCCCATCTCTAGAAGAGAATGAGCGAGATTCTTTTCTGTCTTTTGTCCGTGGAATGCTTACCTGGCTCCCAGAGGAGAGGAAAACCGCTCGTCAATTAATCGCGCATCCCTTCCTCAACATCAAGAAATGATCATATCATTTCCTCTGCGAATCGCTAGAGCGCCCATCCGAGAACCGTAAGAAGGTAGAATATACAATATACAATCTTTCCTAGAAGGAGTTTTTTGTTTCAGATAGGGTAAACATCAATCTGCAAGAGCTACAGCAAATCAAGTGAATAGTAGATATCTTTGATTTTGATACTTAGCAACCACTTGCCAGATGGAAAAGAGTGTGGAGTGATTGGTGCTTCTGAGTTAGCGCATCAAATGCTGGGGCGTGCATAATACTGGGGCCGAGTCACCTACAATTCCCTGTGATGCTCTCTGCAAACAACTCCAACTACCTTCAAAATAAAAACAGATTTCTACCTGAGACCATGCCGGAGCTTGATGATGTTCAGTCATATTTTTCGTTGAGATCCGGCAATAAACTTGCATCATGAAGGTGGTAAGTAGAGCAACAAGGTACTATGCATCTAGATATTCTTGCTAATATAAGTAGCACCATGGGAGGGGACCGCGGCGCTATTACGAACAGGAAGGTCGTGGATTGGATATTCACGTACTTGAAGCCACTACCTACACTCGGCTGAAAGAGCAAGGACTTTGTGATCGTGGAATTGTGCCAGACTTCCTAGGTTTTATGAGGAAGTTTGACCCTAGCCTATGCCAGCCTCACTTAAGGAAGTTTCTCGACGACGAATACCCGCCTAGCGCTATATTCCTCGAGTACATCACCAGTCTGGGGATGATCAACTTGCGAAATTACACGCCGCAACGGGTGAACAATCTCCTAAAGGGTATTCGCCAAATACATAAAGTACTAGTGAGACATCGAGATTCAAAACCACGGAACATGATGATCGTCAAGGATAGTTCAGACGCAGAGAGTCGTTTGGCTAGATTTTGATCGAGCGGAGACATACGATAAAGACCATATTACCGTGCGAGAAGATGACCTCATCAATGAGGAAGAAGCAATTGTCATGGAATTCAAAGATGCCATAGTAAGCCCGCTGACAGTCCACACATAGTGAACTGTTTTTCTAATGCTCATCAATAGGCTGTTGATATCGTCAAAGGGAAGTTTGATGAAACATATTTGTTTTCCTTCGGCTCATGATGGATGCATGAAGTCTTTTCCCAAATACAATATGATAGTAATTTCGAAAGCTTGGAAGGTGTGGAATCATCGAAGCAAATATTTACTTAGAATTAGAATATATTCCGTGTGAGCCTTTCAATTCAAAACAGGGCTTTTACATAGATACTACCGGTGTTCAGACATGGTCAAGGTCTAAATTCATCAATGTTATATATGGTGGTCATAAGAAGTATGAGTTTACATCTTAGACTGCTTATCTGCCGCAAAATACTCTGCGCTGACAGCAGCCTGAATCAACTGATTGGCAATAGCCGTAGGAGGGGGCAATCGCAAACCGCCCTTGTATTCTGGACCAGCCGGACCACTCAAGTCACTTGTACCAATGCGCAGCGCCTCTTGCACCTCCTCAATTTCAAACCACCGCGCATCCTCCAACTCAGGGTCATGCAGTAAAGAGATGGTCTCGTGAGCGGGGTCACTGACCTGGGCAATAGCACCAATCATCAAATTGGCCGGATACGGCCAAGGCTGCGAGGAGTGGATAACAACGCGGGACAAAGTGACGCCGGATTCTTCCCACACCTCTCTCCGCACGGCATCCTCGATTGACTCCGCTGGCTCGATGAATCCAGCCAAGGTGGAATACCACCCTGGCGGGAAGCGCTTGGAGCGCCCGAGGAGGACCCGCTTGCCATCAGCGGAGACCACCGCAACAATGATAGTCGGATCGGTACGGGGGAAGGAAAGGTTTGACAGCGTAGTGCGGGTATTGCACTCCGGCCGCTCTTCCAACTTGCCCTCAATTCCTAGTGCAACATCCGTCGGTGGACAGGCACGCTTGGTTCCTGCATTCACGGCCAAAGTACGGTGGCCGCATGTACCACAGAAGGTGTTGCGAGTGTTCCAGTCCATCAGCGCACGTGCTTGTGCATAGATAGCAGCTATCCCGAGTTGATTAGTTTCCTCTTATAGATGCAGACATTAAGATCGCATCTTCATACCTTCATCTGCGGAGAAGGACATGACAACTCGTGTTTGGAAGAATGACAGTCCCTTCGCCTCCATGGCAGCGATTATATCCTTCGCTGCAGTCTGCTGCTCTTCAGGTCCCTTGGGGGTCACGTCGACTGCAAAATACGGCGTGCCAGAGTAGATCTTGTACGTCAGACCCCCTTCCTTGTGACTCTCGTCCAGTCCGAGGAATATAAGGGTCGGGTGTGTCTTGCGCGAGTCATAGTTCTTGATCATGTCTTCCTCGGATTTATCGAAGATATCCTGGGGAACAAGCTTGCGTACATCGTCATACTTGGCATAGTATAGCTGCGACGGTGACGGAGTCAAGGGCGCTAGGTTGTTCAACAGTACAAATCGGGTCGAAGGGTGCTTTAGAGCACTGGACAGGAACGGGTGGTCGGAGCGCAAGAAAGATAGACGATTGATTGGAGAACCTAGAGATACTTTAGCCCTACTGTGCCTCATATACAAGAGTCCAAGACATCCTTACTGGAGAAGTAATTAACCGTCTCTTTGCCAAAGTGTCGGGACAACATTGAATCCGCGAGCGTATGAGCCGGGGCGGGGATCAGGGCAGTCGTGCTCATTCTGTAAGAGCCAAATCGCCAGCAAGGAATGTCTAAAATGGTAAGTATATGAACAAGAAGAAAATTCTCACTCAATAACGAGTCTATATCTAAAATATCAAAACGTGGAATCCAGCACAGACAGGCGGAGAAATCGCATTAATCAGCAGCCGACCTCGGGATGCTTACAAACTGATTACATGTTTTTTTGGTCGGAGTTAAGCCGACAGTGCTGAGAGAAGAATAGATTACAGTAATGTACAGTCATGTAATTACCACAGAAGCGGGGGAATCTGAGCTCCCCACACACGTGACCTCATTCTTTCGGCTCTTATCGCCGGTGAGCCTCTGTGCAAAGCACAAGACACAGACGTCTCAGTCATATTAGGAATCATGGGGCACCTAGTCACTCTAGCAACATGGTAAGGCTGACACATTCACTATTTTGATACTAGGAAGTCCCGCGCTAACCCGTTCTAGCTCTCTTAACCAGTGGGCTCTCGACTTCGAGGGCAACGCGGAGCGTATCATTGAGAGCATCAGGCAAGCCAAGGCTGCCGGTGCTACCTTGCGTGTTGGACCGGAGCTCGAGATTACCGGATATGGAGTTCTGGACGGTTTCCTTGAGGGCGACACCTTCATGCACGCATGGGAAATGTTCGCCCGCATCATCGACCATCCCGATTGCCAGGATATTGTGGTTGATGTGGGATTGCCGGTTCGCCATCGCAATGTGCGCTACAACTGTCGGTAAGTATTCCCGATATTACTGATATAGCATTAGTTGATATATTTTCTCAAGTGTCATTTTCCACAACCGGAAGATTATCCTGATTAGGCCGAAGATGTGGCTTGCGAACGGTTCGTTCAATTGCTCTTTATACTTCGGAGAATAGTTTCTAATATCAATCCCTAATCTAGATGGCAACTATCGCGAGCACCGCCACTTTACGCCATGGCAACGTCCACAGGAGGTGGATGACTACTATTTGGAATCAATAGTTGGAGATATCACAGGCCAGTACAAGGTTCCATTTGGTGATGCTGTTATCAGCACAAGAGATACGTGTCTGGGTCTTGAGACGTGTGAGGAGCTGTTTACCCCTAATGGGTAGGTGTTGAACTCTCTAAGTGGATGTGGATGCTAACAATCGATTTTAGCCCTCACATCCCGTATGGCCTAGCTGGTAAGTATCAATATCCATGGCCGCGCTCATTGTCTAATTCAAAATAGGTGTTGAGATCATCTCGAATTCTTCGGGCAGCCACCACGAACTGAAGAAGCTTAACACTCGGGTCAATCTGATCACCCAGGCTACCAAACTGGTGAGTGAAAAACAACGCTCCAATAGCATAGCACTTTTCTTACAGCTCACAGAGTGGTGGAATCTATCTTTACGCCAATCAACAAGGCTGCGATGGCGATCGTCTGTACTATGACGGATGTGCTATGATTGTCGTCAACGGTGACATCGTGGCCCAAGGTTCACAGTTCTCTCTGAACGATGTGGAAGTTGTCACTGCAACGGTCGACATCGAAGAAGTCCGCACCTACCGGTGCAGCGCAAGCCGTGGAATGCAAGCCAGCAAGCAATCGCCCTTTGTCCGCCTTGATCTTGATATCAGGCTGTCTCACCGGGATGAAGATGCTGAACCTAACCTCGCGCCTGCTCTGCCTATCCATCCGCGGTACCATCCTGCCGAGGAGGAGATTGCTCTGGGGCCTGCCTGCTGGCTATGGGATTACCTTCGGAGATCTGGAGCCGCCGGTTTCTTCCTCCCTCTGAGCGGTGGTATTGACAGCTGTGCCACGGCAATCATTGTGCACTCCATGACTCGCGAAGTGCTCAAAGCAGTGCGCCAAGGGAACCAGCAGGTCATCAAAGATGTCCGCCGGTTGTGTGCGAAGCCAGAAGACTCAGATTGGCTTCCTACCACCAGCCAAGAAATTTGCAAGTAAGTTTTCCAAGTGATCATTCTTTAGGCCAAAATTATCTAGTCTGGGGCAACATTAACCAATTTCTCTAGGTCTATCTTCCATACCAGCTACATGGGCACCCAAAACTCAGGCAAGGAGACACGAGACAGAGCGTCTCGGCTGGCCTCCGATATTGGGTCTTACCACATTGACTTCAATTTCGATACTGTGGTCACTTCTATCATGAATCTCTTTACTGTTATCACTAACTTCCAGCCTCGTTTCAAAATGCACGGTGGATCTTTCGCAGAGAATGCCGCGCTTCAGAATGTGCAGGCTCGGATGAGAATGGTTCTCTCATATCTGTTTGCCTCTTTATTGCCGACTGTGCGTCAACGCCCTGGAGGTGGTGGCTTGCTCGTTCTTGCATCCTCTAACGTTGATGGTAAGTCTCTCACCCGAATATTGCACCTTGTTGAGCATCTTCACTAACTGCTATTACAGAATGGTACGCCACATAAATACACTAATTTCCTTTCTGGTGACTGACTAAACCCATATAGTTTGCGAGGCTATCTCACCAAGTACGATGCCAGCTCCGCCGACGTAAGCATCAATTCCCGCAAGTTCAACCCCACTTTATACCAGACTAACCAAAACAACAGCTCAATCCCATCGGCTCCATAAGCAAAGTCGACCTTAAGAAATTCATCGCCTGGTCCGGTCAAAGCTTCGACCTCCCGATCCTCGAAGAATTCATCCACGCAACACCCACAGCCGAGCTGGAACCCATCTCGCACGACTACGTGCAATCCGACGAAGCCGACATGGGCGTTACGTACGTGCAGCTGGGCGTTTTCGGGTACTTGAGGAAGGTCTCCAAGCTAGGCCCGTACTCTATGTACGAAAAGCTGCTTCGCATGTGGGGCAACGAGTACAGCCCGCGCGAGATCTACGAGAAGACCCGCCACTTCTTCTACTACTACTCCATCAACAGACATAAGATGACTGTTCTCACGCCTAGCTACCACGCTGAGCAGTACTCCCCCGAGGATAATCGTCATGATTTGAGACAGTTCCTTTGTATGTTTTCTCATTATTGGCTTTGTGGCAGGTGCTAACTTTGGTTGTGTAGACCCGCCGTTTACTTGGGCTTACAAGAAGATGGAAGATAACGTCAAACTCTGGGAATCTAGGGGGTGGACTACTGGCAAGGGAGGGAAGAAGAGTGTCAAGGCTGATTAGACGTAGATCGAGTGGGTTTTAAAATTCTGAAGATGCTTAGTGTACTTGGCTTAGATTTGCTTGATATTAGTCTCATAGAGAAATTGAATTATGACCGACGGTAGCCGCCATGCTTGCATTATTTCCTAAGAGATATCAAACTAGATGGGATTGACTTTTCCATGCATAGCCGAGAAGCAGGTTGGGAAGCAAATTGAAAGAGATAAAAAAGAATAGATTGAGAGAACGAACGCTGAAGAGTTAAGACATGAGAGAAGGTCATTTTAAAATCGTAGATATTGTCCAAACAGAGTCCTAGTCTTTCCAGAACCAACCGTTCTTCGGTGTGTCAGAGTCAGACTTGGAACCTTTCTGGGGATGAGACACCTCAACAGACTCGTCACTTTCCTCTCGGCCATCTGCAAAACGCCTGGTATTAACGATCTTGCTCTGAACCGAGCCATCAGCAAGCTGTACACGTTCCGTTCGAGTTATAGTAGAGATGATACGAGGCTGCGCTGGTTCCGAGACAGCTTCGGTTGGTGTTGGCTTGGTCTGGATCTCGGTCGGCAAATCCTCGGGTGTTTCAGGAACTGATTTCTTGTTTCCGCCAGACACAAGATCGATCCAATTCTCATTATCGTCACTGCTGTGCTCATCTTCGACCTTTGGAGCGCTGCGTCTGTATTTCTCAAGTTCCTCCTGTTGTCGCCGTCGGTCCTCGAGTAGGAGACGCAGAAGAGGGCTTTCGGAAACCCCGCGGAAGAACTCGCGTTCGCGATTTTCAATATCGTGCAAGAAGCGCTCATACAGCTCCAGCTCGCTGTCAGCCTCCTTCGTATCGACGGCTTCTTTCTCTTTCTCCGGTAGAGACCGAGACCGAGACTGGTCCTGTTCTGGGCCTGCACGGCTAGAGAACGTAATGCCCGACCAAGGCTGGCCATCTCTGCCAGGAACATACTTCCACTTATCTCCCAAGCTGCCTCGTTTAATAAGCCCTTGTAGCCAATCCTTTCCAGACTCTGGTGCGGTGACGGCATTACGATCGAGCATCGATTTGTCGTTCTCGAGTCGGATTAAATCCTCGAAGGCTTCTCGCCACTGTGGTTCGGAGGGGTCACGGTCGGAGTTGAGATGCAAAGACGACATGATAGAAGAGAAAACGCCCTTCTCACGGTTTGCTTGGTACTGTGCTTGACGTTCTAGATGGAGAGGCGAGTATGGGCTGAACAGGATATACCCAATCGGCCAGGTTGGAGATTCGGTGTCCTCAAACATATCCCGGAGGAGAAGGCTCTGGCCGGAGTGTAGGAGTTGCGATGCGAAAGGGAAGAAGCGGTCCTCGAAGAACCGGTCGAAGAAAGAATCGAGGCCAAACAGCTCGGATGGTCCATTAGACCATTTCTTCCACAGATCATCGTTCTCTGGTTGGCGTGGTCGTGCATTCTTTCCATAGTTGCGTAGATCATCTCCATCCGGATAACCACTTCCGCTGTCTCGTTCTGTTGGATAATTGTTGCTGCCCGTATTATCACTGTTTCGTTGACGAGCCATCCGACTCTTATAGTCGTGATTATCCTCAAATATATCCCAGTGGCCGTGGTGAGGCTGTGTCACCATCGAAGGGAGGCCCGTGATAGATTGCAGCATGGTGGAGACCTGCTCATCAGCGTAGCGCCGGAAGGCAACGAACGGGTTGGTCTCATCATCAGTCCAGTTCTTCTGGGTTGATGCGTCCTTGCTGTCTTCGTTGCCCATTATTATGTTAAGATCGGAGAATAACAATAGATTCTACCTCGGTAGACTGATGGGGGGGAAAGAGAGGAGATGCAGAATCGAATACATGTTGGGGAGCCCCACTTGACACCACGTGATCCCCAATGTTTTTGCCTTCGTTCTTTCGTTTTCTACACACGATTCTCCCTATTCCTGTGTCTGGCCTTTGCAAGAAATGATACTCTCCGTTCTTCTCCCATTCCGGTTCAATTCAGCTTGAAAACCGTTCGAACATACTACAAATGCACCCTATACAAGCACAATCACGTTGAGCCGCTGGCGTCATTCCAAGGTTAGAGCCCCACTGCAGCTAGAGCCGGGAACCATAGTTCAACCTCTAAAGTATGGGGAAGTTTTATATCAATTTAGCGTTAAATGGTAACATTCTGGGGGATAGTGGAAAGTACAATGAAATAAATATCCTCATGAAGAAGACGTGTTGCCCGTCTCAGATATGCGCCCGTTGAGACTCCCATGCTTCATCGAATCCAGTAGAACGGACCCACATTGGTCTACCTCCCTCCTCGACAGTAGAGTCAACGGCTGTCGAGCAGTTAGGTAAGGTGACAGATATGTCATGGAGATTTTGATACTCACCTATATTCCCAACGCTAAGCCACATATTTCCCTTGATCCGCATCTCGGGATGTGTTCTCTCATATACCTGGCAGACTTTCTGGCCGTGCGCCAAAGCCCGCACCAGCTTGGCTAGATGTCCATCGTCATCGGGATGGGCGATGCTACGCGCGAATAGCTGTGACCAGTTGTCCTTCGGGGGATAATTGGCCACTTCATCCAGGAGGAGATCCGGCGTTCCACGCGAAGTATACATCAGCAGCTCGATTCGTCCCTTCCATTCCAGCATGCGCAGTTTGGATCGCTGAGTCATGAAAGGGAGTTCGATAATCTTAGAAAAGAAGATAGAGGAATTGACACAATGGATCAAGAAGAAATCAAGCCACATTTCTTTGGTCGGACGCTGGGCGGCACTGGTATAGTAGACTGACGAGATGAATTCAGCAATAGCTTCTCGCTCGCATCATTCAAATAACACAAGCAAGCGCTTCCAAGACTAGACTTACCGACTGTATTGGTCATATCCGCTAACCGCCCATGCACCTGATCCTTGGATACAGTAAATTGAGAAGCATACTTCAACATCTGCTCAGGCGCTCTGTGGAGCACTCCATCTTTGATCTTATTACTGTCAGACCACTGAACACTCTCAACAAGGGTCTTGTCTGCCCGAATCTCATTTATGAGCTGGAACAGCGACTTCTGTCCCGGCTTTCCGATGCCGCCAGCCATCTTCTCCGCGGGTAGGAAATAGGCACGACCCAGCCAGTCATCGTGCACTGCTATCTGAGCAAGACCTTGGGCTACAATAGCAGGTTGGTTGAATTCAATCCCGAAACCGAGTTGGATGAACGGGTGAATGAGGCCTGAATGAATTAGCCCGAGGAACATACAATATAATATAGCGCAGTACAACTGTAAGATATACTTACCGGCAAACACACGACACATCATACTCTCCGCTCGCTCATCTTCAGCGAATAAATACTCATTCAGAACATCTGGGACGCCTTTTGCGTCAATCTCCTGCTGGAAGAAAGCTAGGTAATGAGGGTAATTTTCTTCCTTCCCAGAGCACTCCTTGAATTTAGCGACATCATGCATAGACTGGACAATATCTTGGTTTGCCGGAAGGGCGGGTCTCTGATAACGCTTATTCCGGTCATAGCAAGTCTTGACCTCCTCCGGTGATGCACCAAGAGCATAGATAGTAAGGAGCTCGTGGGGTATGTGATCTGTCTTTGCATTAGATAGGATTCTTGGTGAGGGCTTCGCCTGGAAAGTACATACTATGGAACCGTTCGTTATTAAAGAAGACATGGTGGATTTCCAGGTCTTCCTGCAAGAGCTCGCTCACTGTCCGCGCGGTATCTTCCCTCACATTGAAGCTGTAGATTCCGGAGTCTGTCGCCGGCGACAGATGTATCTTAGTAGCAGTGGCCATTCTGGATGGAGTAACGCGGGGAAAGTTCCCGGTGTTGGGACTATACGAGCTGTACTGCGCGCCGAGTCGCGGAAGGGGTAGAGTAGGTGAAGACGTCGAAGTCGAGCAGGCTGTTTGAAATGGTAGACGCAAACTGGAATAGCAGCGAATACTATTCCGCAAGAGAAGCCAAGACTTGTTTGTAGTTATAAGTCTTGATTTGGAGAAATGACGTCTGTGACACTGAAGAACGCGGGGAAGCATGTCATTTATATAGCTCAAACCATCCGGTCCGTGTATACTAGTGATGATTGGAGCTGTCCAACTGTCAGGGTGATCTAGACAGTGCCATAAGAAATCCAAGTCACCAATGGAGCCTATCAGGGTCGTACAATTATTAACTCCAAACACAAAAATCGGAGAAATTGCCCGATTTCGGGTTTTCCGTTGCGACGACCAACGTCATGGGAAACGGTCAGCAGCCCTAGGCCTGGCGGTGATTTCTAGACCGGTCGTGCTGACATATTTATTTCAGGATTACAAGAGTTTCTGGACGAGGGTGTTCTACGACACAAATGATCTTTTTAACTTGCCGTTCATTTTTTACCATATACTGATGGTGATTATTTGGGGTATCTGTCATTCTGGGTGCATACAAGAAGAAAGGTCAAAGACTACGCGCCCGAAAAAGGAAAGCAAAAACAGCAGCGCATTTCAGCTTTTATTCTTCGTTCTCCCTCTCCTTCTTGCGGCGTTGTCGGTCTCGTTCCATCTTCTTGAACAGCGGGTGATGTCCCTTATCCTTGAGCTGCTTGTTCCTGCTCTTGTTATACTCGATATAGGCCATATCATCACCACCAGCCAGACCACTAAGAGTGGCAGCGCTGCGTTTAGCACCGCCTTTCTTAGATGTCACTCGCTTGCCGGAGCGCATCGAGAACAGATCATCATTGACCTGTTCGACGTCGGCGGATGACTCGTTCTGCAGCATGACTTCTTGCAGGAGCTCGCGGCGTTCCGCTGGCGTCGAGTACGAGAGTCCTTCATAGCTGTCTATGCCTTGGAGATGGGTGATGACCTTGAAAGCATAACCCTGATCGATTAGGAATGCCTGGCGTTTGGCCGAATAGACCATCTCATTAGTGTCCTTGGACACGAGCGAGTAGAAGAACGCATTGAAGCCCTCGTCGTTTCGGCGCTTGGCTCGCAGAATTCGTCCCAGGCGCTGTGCCTCCTGACGACGCGAACCGTAATGAGACGAAATTTGGATCAGACAAGTGGCCTCGGGTAGATCGAGGGAGGTATCACCAATCTTCGACAAGAAGATGGTGTTGACCTGCTCATTGTGTTGGAAGTTCTCTAGAATACGCATGCGCTCATTTTGAGGAGTTCCGCCATAGATATAAGCCTTGTTCAGCTTGAGTGCATATCGCTCGAGAGCGTAGACATTGTCAGAGAATACGATGATCTTATCGCCGCGCTTCTCGTGGAAATCGATCAGGAACTGACACGCTTGGAACTTGCGAGGGTTCATGATGTATAGTAGAGCCTGTTTCCTTGAGCTTTCCCGCAGATACTCAGAATAGAACTCAGTTGTCATCGGGCACCACACCTCGGCACATTGGACCTTGGCGATGTGGCCCTGTGCAGCCAGTTCCATCCAGTTTGCTTCGTAGAGCTTCGGTCCGATCAAGAAATTCAAATCCTTGATCTTGTCATCCTCACGTAGTAGTGTTGCAGTGAGACCAAGCTTACTCTGTGCGGCAATTGCAGATGTGACCTTTCGGAACATCGATGCCGGCACGACGTGCACCTCATCAAGAATCATCATACCCCATTCTCTCGATTGAAGCCAGTCCATCATCTTCTGGGCATCATAGGACCGGGCACGAGTCTGTGACACCATTGAGTATGTGGACACAATAATACCAGTTGATCGCTTGAATTTTTCTTTATGGTCCGACGTGAAAATGGCAATATCACCAGGGTCGATGGTTGTCCACCGCAAGAACTCGTTTCGCCACTGAACCACAGACATGGAACTAGTGCAGAGGACGATAGTGCCTTTCTTGATGGTCGCCGCCGCAGTGATACCCACAAGGGTTTTACCGGCACCACAAGGAAGCACAATGATACCACTCTTGGCTCGTCCGTTACCGAACATTTTACTTAAACTCTTCTCCTGGTAAGACCGAATCCGCGCCGCGGGTTTCAAATCCATATCCAGATTAGGGTTGACTGTGTCTCCTTGGAAATCGTACTCTTCCAGGGCAGGACATCCGATCGATTGGCAGCGGGCCTTGACCACTTCGACACCAGCAGCGGGGATTTCGAAACTGTATGTGGTTGCTTCTTCTGTATCATCTTCACCAATGTCGTCAATGCCATAGTTCACGGCCCCTCCTTCTTCTGTCCCATCTCTAGCTACGGCAGCGGCAGCCTCCTGTTGAGTGGTCTCTCGTACACCAGCTGCATCTTTCGTTCCAGGAATGACAAGACCACCCATTTTCGGAGCAGCCCGTTCGATAATTCCTTCGGTATTATCCATTCTCTGGGGACCGATCACTTCATCTTTCAGCAACCGCTGAAGCATTTCAGGATCTGTCGTTTCCACATAGTATCGATTATGCCTCAACACCATCTTGATCTTTCCGTAGGACTTTGTGAACTCGATGATGAACGTCCGAATGCTTTCGGGCAGCGGTGTTTTCGACAGGCGGTCCAAGAACTCAACAATATCCTGCGGTTTGAGACCGACCGAGACCGCGGCATACAAACTGTGTCCGGTCAACCGATATTCGTGGAGATGGGTCGGACGGGAAAGCGGTTCCGCAATGGTGGTCAGGAAATCTTGCGCCTGGGGTGCCAGCGGGGAGAAACTCTCGAGTGTGATTGTGCCTTTCAAAGGCTCGATCCATAACGGCCGGTTGTAGTGGTCGCGCTTCAGCGGGAGCGAAGAAAGATCCTTGTATCCAAATCGGGGGTCCGTCTTCTCCGCATGATTCTTCTTGCTGAACGCCTCGAGAGAGAACTTGTTGACGACCGCTTTATGGTCAAATTTTAGTCTCTGGTTCACTTCAGGTGAGCAGACTGCCACACTGTACCTTTCAAGTTGGTTTCATCTGGCAACTCTTCCTGGTCCGAGTAGTCATCGTCGCTGGAAATATCGGGGACCGGCGTAGCCCGCTTTGAAGCACCGCTAGACCGACCAGCTGGATATAATCAGCCATCAATACTTCGGAAATGTGTACCAGGACTTACTGTCGGCTGCTTTGCGTTTGGGAGGCATGTTTGGACTTTGTTCAGGAAACAAACAGCGTGAGAATTCTGATCAATAGTAGCTCAGGGAGTGAGTCACCAGTGAGGCGGAGCGACGCCCCAGTTAAAAGGTATTTCACGCCAGCATGGAACGATACTGCGCCGGATGAACAGGCGGCGAAGTGAGGTTCTCCGGTTTATTGTAAAATAACAGGATAGGGTTGGTGAAAGGAGTGGGTGAAAGACAGTGGGATATCAACTAGAGTGACAGTATATATACGATGGAGAAGAAGATCAAGACAAAGGTCGTCTTTAATCGCGTTCTCCAAAGACGATGCGATGGTTGATAACCCTTGGCCTGAGGCACCGATTACAGTCATCAGGCCGGGCGGTGAGCTCGTCCGGGCGTCCACGGGTAGCCGCCCGACCTCGGGCCTGACGTAGAGATCCTTTTTCTGCTGCTTCACATATCACCACCAAAGCATTCACCATGAATACGGTGAGTACCTCTACCCAATGCCTCTTTACCCTTACTAATATGTCATCTCTAGGTTCGATCTACCTGGTGAGCGAAGATTTCACTATCTGAAAGAAGAAAATCCAAACAAACCGGAACGTAATTACTGATGATCTCACCTAAACAGGATGGGCTGGGGCACCCTTTGCCTTGGTATGTGATATCGATCCATCTCTGGCCAAGGACCAGTGACAATCCCAGAGATTCCCATGTAAAAAACTAACCATCCCCCGTAGCCGGCGGCGGAGCCTACTATTTCGCCAAGCAATCGATCAACGCCGACCGACAATCCCGATTTGAAGCCGAAATCAAGCGCAAGGCCCAAATGAAGCAAATGGAGAACGAGCATAAGCGCAAAGCACAAGCGTCGACACCTCCCCCGGCCAACGACACTAGCTCGAAGCGAGCGAGTAAGGGACGATTCAAGAACTCCGATGATGCCGACGATGCCGCCTCTCCAAGTACTGAAGCTTCTCACGATCCAGCGCCTACCCGGCATGAACCCATGACGGCGATCGACCGCGTCATGGAGAAGGGGAAATACGAAACGGAACAGCCGTATCGGCCTCCGAGTGGGAACCGGTTTAGCTGATCGGCTGGCCGCCTTGTATACTATTTTGACACGGATCACTCCGTCGCCAACTGAAAATAGAGGAGTGTGGAACAAAGTGGATAGATAATAAGGAGGTGAGGGGGTTCCTCGGACTCGATCTACTTTGGGCTACATTTGGTTCGTTTTCTCGTACTACGTACTCGAGCTCGAGTCAATTCAGTAATGGATCCATTCGCGCAAAGTTAGCTATGCAATGATCCTTGCGAGTCGCAGCGATAGAGAGAAATCAAGCCATCTCCACTCCCTCTCTCTTCAATAGTAATAATGTATAATAATAGCACCATCCCTTGTGCTAGTCAAAAAGCAAATTCAAAACGCCAATTCCAAACTCCTGGGGCATAATGCATCACATTCGCAATCTCGGAGGCAGTGTCCTGTATCAGCGCCTGCACCGACAGTCCTTGTCAAAGTTGCGAGTCAGGAGTGCGGCGACTAGCGCGCGTGGAAGCAAAGTGGGGGGTTCCTGGATGTCAGGTTAGTTTCTCCACACCAACTCGCAAAAGTACGTGGCAGAAATTCAAGACTTACTTGGCGCTCGTAGACATGCCCAAGCTCCGTTGACGTGAACTTTCCAAAGCAGGGGGGACAAATGGAAGTACCACGCCGGAGATAATGCAACCCATGGCGACAGCGCGGGCAGCGCGCGAATCGGGACGAGGGCGGTGGGCTGAGAAGTGGCGGATGGAGGGGCGGACAATTTGGGCGGCGAGTATGGAAGACATGGTGGTTGGTTTAGTTTGGTTTGATTTGGTTTGGTTTGAGAGTAGACAGGGTGTAGACAGGATATGAAGAAAAGAAAATAGGGTTAAAGATAGAAGAGACTTTATATAACTAAAGTAACGCTGAAGATTAGCATAGCAGTCAGGCCATACAACCGCGCAAATGATCCGGACACTGCGGGGCAGGACTATGGCCTGATCCTCGATGGGATTCCTCATCCGTGATCAGATGCTTTAGGCAACGGCTGATCGGCACCTCCGAATAGAATGGCCATCTCATATCGGATTGCCATACGCCATCGCGGGGTTTCAAGTCGCAAAATGTGTGGGGAATCTTTTTTAGTGTGGCATGCAGGTCGCCGTAATAGACTTCACGCGTTAACTGCGGGAAAATGGCTATAGACGGGAATTCACTTCCGAGACTCTACTCTGAAGATCGGAAATCTGGTAAACTGATAGACAACTGTTAAGCCTAGCTAATATTCAACAGTAAAATATGGTCTTATATACTCGAAATGCAGCAACAATTATCTAGTTTATAATAAGTACACCCACTGCGGTGTGGCCGTAATTGTGACAACCACAGCATGGAAGGCTGTCGCCTTTCCACCGACTCAGTTCATTGGAATCGATTGCATTTCGAGCATGTTCAGGGGTGCACATGTTTATTGCCAGCCACGGCCGCCCTGGGGAGGAGCTCCTCCCCAGGGTCCACCCTGCTGACCCCCAGAATAAGGAGGAGGGAAGTGATACTGACCCGGAGATATCCCGTACCCCTGCTGCTGTCCCTGGTTCTGTCCTTGGTTCTGTCCCTGCGGCATAGAAGGTGGAGGATAGTACGGAGGAGGGAAGGCTGACGAAGAGGGCCCGGGTCCAGGTGGGGGGAAGGGCATGGTCGGCATATGCGGAGGAGGCGGAGGCCAAGAACCGTAGTTGGGTGCAGGTACTTGGGGATAACCGGTGTTGGGACCCATGGGATGGGCATACTGTCCAGGGATATGGGTAGGGGGAAAGGAGTTGGTGGGTGGGGGATGTTGAGGATGGTGAGGTGGCGGGAAGTGTGAAGTGGACGGCTCCCGAGGTGTGTATGAGCTTTCGCGGCTTCGTGAGCGCTGTGGAGAACGGCTTCTTGATCGTGCCTCGTGGCGACGGAAACCATGTTTGTATGGTCGTGATCCACTCGGAGATTGTGACTCGGACTGGCTGATAGAGCTGTCGCTGTAGCGCCGGCGCTTGTTATTAGTTCGTGATCCACTATGGCTGCGACTCCGGCCGCGCGAGTGCTCGGTGTCTGTATCTGCGGGTTGACAGAATTCCAGGGACCATCCGTGGTAGTGTTCGCCGTCGAGAATGTCGCCTGTGTTCTCACCCCGGATCACTGTCTGGCCCAGCTGGTCGATGTCTGCATGTCTATCATCCCCAGAGGTTTCCGGATCGAAGAGCTGGTTCACATCACCGAGAAAGGCTTTGAGGGCTCCCACCGAATTTGCATCGGCAGGACCTGCTAGTAACTGTATCGGTTTCGTGTCATCAGGTCGAATAGGTATAGTCGAGTCGGGAATAATGTGGGCATAAATGTTGCCTGCACGAACTTCGTGCCAGCGCGTCGATGGATCTCCGTGTGTAGATGGCATGACAAAGGGCACATTCTTGCCAGGCTTCTTGGCTGGGTTTAGTTCGTTGGCCGCATCGTTGGAACTTATCGGCAACCCCATAACCACAACTTCCCGAAGCTTGTCGACTAACTCGGCATGAAAATATTCCTGCTCAGACCAGATATCTAGCAGCTCATCTAGCCGTCGATGGTGCCGTGGGTTCTTTTGGCGATCACAGCTCGCTGCGTAGCCGACCAATTTCACGAGATGTAGCTGCAGGGACCCGCTCACTGTGGAGAAGGTTGAAGGGCTGTCCAGGTGGAACTTGCAATGATGTAACAGATCATTGATCAAATACAGTAGGTGGAGGCGTTGGCGCTTGGGTGAAAGTTTGGATCCAGTGGGCTGGGATGGTGAGAAAGACGCAGCAAGAGCTTCCAGGTAATTGACTAGACCCCCGACCCTATTAGATGAAAATGCGACAAATCGAAGCAACCAGGCTTTACAGGTCTGTAGGTATTTAGTAAGCTGGGACTTGGCAGTTAACAACGGTGACAACGGCTCAGACCTGAATATTGGCTGGGGAGCAATGCGACAACGCGCGCTCAAGGGAGATGTGGAACGCGGTTATCTCATCTCGAGGAACCGAAGTAGGATCCGGGCGTAAGAGACAAGCTGCAAATGCAGCCTTGAGGATAACAGCACCATGAGTCGCCATCGTGGTCAGCGATCTCACGATAGATCTGTTGAGAGAACCAGGTGGGCAGATCTCCAATTTCATGTTAGGAGCTTATCGAAGCTTTATCGCACGTGACCTTTACTATTCCTCCAGGTACCAAGCAGAGTAGCTACCACAGAGTACCACAGAGTACATGTATACATATTTTAATTGACACAACTACATATCAGGACGATATACCATGGCAATGAGAACCGACCATATATGTCAGATGTGTCAGACGAAGAAACCTCCAGGAGAAAACTTGATATCTCGGCTATGTCTGATTTTGCGTAGAGATAGGATAATATATATAAACAGCTATGGAATCCAATCTGGTGAGATTCGGGCTCTTATTAGATGAAGCAATCTAAAGTTATGTATACAGAGCCTGCGGGGATGAATAGAACGTAGAAAATAACAGCGTACAGTACACACTGTAATCTCCATGAACCAAACTATCAAAAGGAAAGTGACCATATAATATCGAGTAGAAGTAAAAAGAAACAAACAGACACAATTTTTCTCTCTCCTCGATTAGCAGTATGCAATCCCTAGAGTTTATCCGGCGCTCAGTCCATGCCACAGAGTTCCGGGCTAGCCAGATGGTTGACATTAAGTGAGAATGTCCATGATCATATCAGCCTGTGACTCTGGAACATCCTTCATCTGGTTCGAATAATAAGCCCTCTTCACATCCTCGAAAGGCTTGCAGGTGTTGAAGGAGGTACCCTAAAAGAAAAGGATAGTCAGATAAATTCTCTTATAGAACAAGAAAATTAAACGGAGGATGAGATACATACATCATTCTGGGTATTGCAGCACATGGGGTTATAACCTTTCCCGGTGCAGGTATCAGGAGCCTCTATTTCAGTCATGTTCTTGCCTGCGAAGGCACATTGGATTAGTATAAATTGATCAAGCTTTCGGGGCTATTTAAAGAGACAGAGGGGAACATACACTGGAAAGCTATAGCCGAGCTAACTTGCACCCCACCGAGAACTGGCACTAACTCGCCAAGCGACTTGACAATGTCCTTGCCCGTCTGCTGCACAGACATGCAGCAAGACTTGAACTTACCCGGAGGACATGTGTAAGCCTCGTAAGGGTTGGGCGAGGGGGTGGGTGAAGCCGAGGCAGAGCTCGAGGGCGAGATGAGGGACTTTCCCACGGAGGTTGTAGAAGTTGGTGTCTCGCTTGCCATTGGGATGGCAGTGGCGATGGACAGAAGGGATACAAGGCCCGTGAGGAGAGTTGTGAGGTGCATTGTTGCTGATTTTTTGCTCTTCGTATATGTTGTGTCGCGATGGTATGAAAAATATAGAGTAGATGAATAGTATTGTAGAACGACTGGCCACGTCGCGTAGGGTTATGAGACTTGAATATCCGAAATGAAAGTCGATTTTAGAGACAGTGGATTAAAGGAGTGTGTGCAGGTCTCCAAAATTAAGACCAAAATGAATGGCTGGAGCTGGAGCTGGACCGGTTGGTTGTCGCAGATGTTGGCGGATGGGCGTGTCGGAGGGGAATAAACAGGAACACGATGTTGAACTTCAGTGTATGCAATTCTCGCTTTTCTGCTCAACAGGATCATTGCAGTTTCTTCTGCCTTCCTCCCTTGGGCGGTTTTGGTTGGCTCACAATCTATCCGAGATTCTAGGGGTTTCATCCCTCTGTTCAGAAAGGCACGGTATGGCCTTGATTCGCTGCCGAGCTGAACCATGTGGAATGTGAACGCTCGGCAATTCCTCCTATTGGTCTTTCTGAGAGTTCGTGCTGTGGTATGTGGGCTTGGGTCCTGGTACTCTGTTGATTATGGGAAATATATCTATTTTGGCTGCGATATCACAGAGTCAATTGGAACATACAACAACATAGTCATGGCAATGATTGATAGCATCTTTAACTAACCCATTCTACATTCAATGGCACAGCTCGTTGGGAGGACAGCTTCTTGTGAGTGTATCAGATTCTCCTTCGGAGGTATGCAAGGGGGTGCGTTCATCAATTCAATTCTGCTAAACTTAATTCTACACTTTTAAAAACCCTACATTTTGATCGAAAAAAACGTGTATTTTATCTCACACCTACATGTTTTAATCCCTTGATTGCGGAGCGAAGCGAAGCAATTAAATCATAACCTCGTGAGTGCATATCTGACCAGGGGGTTTTATCCTATGGGCTCCAAAATCATAGAAATAATGCGGTGAAATGTCATCGGCTAACTTTGGCAGAATAATCCAACCGGCAGAAAAAATAGACTACCATATGGTCAAACTTTATGGAGTAGTATATAGTAAAATAACATGCATTTTATTCTCTTTTCCTTTCTTTCTCTACGTTTAGAATCTTATTCAAAATGCACTCTTTCTTCTGGTTTGAATTGGCACATAACAATTAATCTCTTTGATCTAGAGCGACTTAATTTTGTTAGGGGCTTACATACAAAGTGCAGGTACCTGGGTTTCCTAAGAAGGCGGAGTGGTAGACCTGAGCAGGTAGCGTAGGAAATGTGGTACCCGATTGGGAAGGCGGTGATAAATAATGCCCGATAATTCAGGCAGGAAGGGTTATTTCAAGGGAGGGGGGGTTATATTACCAATCCCCTATACAAATTGTATGGAGGGCGGTGAGGTGAGATGAAAATCAGGCAGCCGGGAGGGGGGTCGCATTAGTCAAAGGGGGATACTGCATGTAACCAGAGTATTATAAGAAGGGAATGATCCAACTTGCCAAGTGTATGGTATGCAATTGGAATGTATAAAAGTCTCAAGGTCTACAAGTTAATGGTCGCGGGCCTTAAATACATAAAGGGGAAACTCGCTTATGTTGTGAGGGTTCCAATAATATTGGACCGTATACAACAATAAGTTGAGTGTGTTACATGCCAGTTCGAAAAGAGTGCAATTCATTCAAGATTCTAAGTACAAGGAAGAAAGAGAAAGGAAAACAATCTACAGATCCCTTCGACTCGGTTTTGAGCGGTCCCTCGTTGCAAACCATGCAAAACACCTCGCTGCCGATTCGGGAAAGAACGACCATAAGGTGCGAACTTGGCAGGTGCGAGGGCCGAGGTTCCAGGTTGTGGCGGCAGGTACGCAAGTCGGCAGGCACAAGTCGGCAGATCGTCACAGAGTGCAGAAAGTGAGCCCAAAACAGTTGGAAAGCCAACCTGCATTTCAACATGCCATCACCAACACATCGCAGTATAATACTTCTCCCAATGAAGAGACGTATCAGCCTCCTTAAACTTTTCCATCCCTCCAGAAACGCCATCCTCCGTGACTACCCAATCACCCAACTCAACACGCTCTGCCCAGCTCGTCAATATCTTATCCAAGAACTGGCCATGACTCCATCCAGGGAGAAGCCCAGAGTAGTAGATAATTTGATATAGCTGATCGGCTTCATCGGTAAGTAGAGGAGGATTCGAAGAATAACCAAGTAGTAGGCCGTTACTACTTCGTGCATAGCCATTCGCACCGATACCAAAAGGTAAAAGTAGCTTACACTGATTGCCATAGTCTTGCGCTATATCCTTATGAATATCTTCTATATAAAGGCCAGCAGGGATAGACCTTGGTTCCCCGTCAGGGAACCAGGGTCCAACCCAAGGGGATATACTCTCTCCCTCACCCCTGAATAGAAGTAGAGGAATTGTATCCTTCTCGTTATAGTCGATCCTATCACTTAAATCAGAGAAAAGCTTAGGAAAAGGCTGATCTGTCATATCTGACAGCGATTGGAGTTGAATCCCAGGAGCGATATATCGGAACGAAAGATATCGACGCGGAAGAGCGAGAAGAAATGATCGGAGAAAAGTATCCTCTTTTATATAAGCCTTATCGAGGACTGTGGTAGGATATAAAAGATCTATCTGGGTCTGGGGCGATGACGATGTAGGAAGTTTTTGCTCAATAGCGTCGATAAGTCGAATAAAAGCGGCCACTGCTTTTTCGATATCACACTTTGTGAAATTTTGAAGATTCCATGGGAAGAATTTCGAAGGTATTGAAGACGTATATACCTTTCTATCTTCGATTATCTGAAGGTATACTGCAAGGATATCCTGTAGAGGTCTCCATTGCCATGATTTCTCGCAATCGCAAATTAGACTTTCCCAGTCGGGAAAAAAAGCTGCAAGCTCTGTACTCTGATCGAAGCTAACTTATAGTTAGAATAAAATAGTAAAATATTAATAGGGTAAGTCAATCACAAACATGATACCAACTTCCTCAATATCGACCGCCCCGGTAGCCGGATATAACCAAACAAAACGATCACCCCATGTTTTGAGGGTTGAGGAATCAAAAAAACGCGTTTGTTCCTGTAAACCGCGCAAAAAATAAAACAAGTAGAGACCGGAGCCTGGTCCCGGCCGGGTAGAATTAACTACCTTCGCCAGGCGTAGGAACGAGGACAGATTCGGAACCAGACGGGAATCAATTTCGACGGGAGCGGAACTTTGCCACCAAGTAGTGGAAGGCAATGTAACCAAGTCATTTCCGGCCCCTGTCCATGCATGTTCCAAAATTTTGTTGTGAAACTCGGCAGAAAGTGCCGGGTCAAATTGGGACTCCGGCATTAGTGCAGCTAGCAGTAGGATAGAATACCCCGGACACCGAAATGAGGGATTTTGCAAACTAGCGAAGACTTTGCTGGATAAATATGCCCAAGGGCCGAGGGTGTCTTAAGGCGCCTGGACTAAGGATAACGCTAAGCTGTATCAGGAAGTAGAGGTTTATTGCAGGGTCCAAGTATGCAAATCGTAGGGAAAGCCGGGGTCCGAACAATCACACAACAACCAACGGGGGCCCATTCTGAAATGCTTAAGAGCATGGAAGATCTAGAGTATTTCAAGTGCACATAAATCGAGTTTTTGCTCTAAGTATTAATTACCATGGCAATAAAACTGGTTCAGGACCCCTACTGAAGGCTGTTACATTCTTAGATCAATCTTTATTGATCTATGAATACTAACAAGGTTCAAAGACAAGCACCGGCATAGCAATTTCCGGTACCACAGTAATCCTCTGTGCTTCCACAATAACCAGCAGTAGAGCAGCAATCGCCAAATTGCGTGCCAACACAGGTCTTGTTACCTATAAAGCTAGGGCCACATTCTCCATTGATACTCAATCCACCGTCTGCACCATCGCACTTACCAGAGTAGCATTTTCCTGGACCGCAGTAATCCGACCCACTTCCACAATAGCCATAGATTGAGCAGCAGCTATAGATATGTTAGTCTGGGAGGTGCATTTTGGAATTATAATAGCGGGCGACTTACGACCCAAAGCTTGGATTTGTGCAAGTAGTACCCTCCCAAGAAGGACCACAGGTACCGTTCGTTGTTGCGACGGTGGTCTCACAGGCACCGGAAATACAGTTACCTGCACTGCAGTAATCAGATGTGGCTCTGCAATAGCCATTGATCGAACAGCAACTATGGATAATGAGGCTGCTGTTAAATGGATCACTTGGGACTCAAATCAATGGGTCTCGTACGATGATGGCGAGACCGTGCAAATGAAGGTGAAAGCGGCGAATGAAGTCTGCCTTGGTGGCACCATGATCTGGTCCCTTGATCAGGACAGTTCGTCAAACACAAGTGGTAATGATTTCTTGGGAATTGGGGTAACAAATGGAGTCGCTGCCACGGACGCCGAGAAAATCAGGACACTTCAAGCAAGGGCTCAAGCGCTTGCTAATAATCGCAATTCATGTTACTGGTCGTTCTGTGGTCAGGAATGCACCGTTGGCTTCATACCCGAGACCTATGCCAAGGGTCAAGTCACTGGAATCTCACTGGACACAACCTGCAGCGGTGATGATGTCCAAACACTATGCTGTGCACCTGGTACAAACACAGGCACATGCGACTGGTATGGCTGGCGTGGTGTTGGCATGCCTTGTGTTACAGGTTATTGCCCTGAAGGGTCCGATCTCATTGCGATCAATAGTGAGTGTATAATCAGAGTAACCGTAGGATGATTATGGTGATTTCGGGTCTCTAACTCTCGAGATAATAGCACCTCCTACCGCTACTGATCCCTCATCGTACTCGGACAAGACTTTCGTAGCGAGTCAGACTGCCAGCCCTCAGACGTCCACCAGCAAGATAGCAAGGGAAACTGGAGGCGCTCATGCTCGAATGCATCCTCATGGGCATGGACATCGAAAATGGCACTATTAGATATAGTGGCAGAGATAGTGGCATCATCATCTTCATGGTGGAGATTAAGATGGATCTCAGTACGTTTTCACGGTTGGGAGGTATAGCAACTAGATAAGAAGCGCACGAGTTTTAATTAGGACTAGTCTCTTTTCAATGCGCACGAAGGCCACCTTCCGTACATAATGCTCTATGCTTCATACCTGAGCACAGTTTGCTTCCGAATTAAACTTGAACGAGGCTATGATAAGGCTGAACCTGGTCAATTTGAAAAAAGAATTTTCCTGAGAATGCGTTATATCTTGAGACCCCGCGATTATCGAGTCTGAGCAAAATAGCCTGTGTTCAAGGTCGATTTGGAAATGAGGAACAAATATTCAGTAGCACATGCACAGAGCGAAGAAGGATTCCCAGTTCCTGTGTTTCTGACCACAACGTGCATTTATTATGATATTCTCATTGATGCTGGGTGTAGTATTTCGTGGATGTCAACGAGAACTTACAAAGCTCTTTACTCTGGTCGAAGCGTACCACCAATCCCACAATACTTCTCGCTCAAGACGCTTCCTGCAAGCCGCAAATGTTAACCCGTCAAGCATTCCCTGGAGTATGAGGGTTGTTGGGGTGTTTCCCCAAACTGTGGATGAAATCCACTTTGCAATGTTTGGTAACGAACTGCCTGATTCAGATCGACACCAATCTCGTCCAAAACCTCCTTCAAAATATATTCTCCTTCTTCTGCTTGCTTCGCCTTCTATTCCGGTGACTTGCCGTTTACGTATGTATTGCAACAAAAGACTAGAAAAGATACCGAACAAACCCGGAAAAAAGGTGCAAAAATAGATTGAAGATTACAAAGCAGGCGCGATAAACGCATCCTTCGTTCAAGCCACAATGGGATTGTTGCGGTGACGTCAAATTGTCTCAGATCATAAGCCTTGGTTCAGCCCCCATTCGATAACTTGATAAATAACACAAATGAACTAGTTACCAAAGCTAGTATTCTTTCATACCACTCGAACCCCTTGTACTACGCGGGGCTACAACAGTACGAGCTATATCCAGCCAATGGAGAAGAAGAAAGGAGAAAGGAAATAAAACACCAACAAATAGCAGAAAAACAAGATTGCTCCGGTTCGATTGTGCATAATTGTACAGGTCATCAATGGCCAACATGGCTAGGTGGTATCGTAACAGGGTATAGTTGAAAGTTGGTTCATCACATCGAATCAAAAAGAATAACAAGCACAGAATCGCTCGGATGAAGTACAAGTACAAGTAATGTACAGGCCAATATTCCTTTCCAGAAGGAATATCAAGCATTGATCACATACCCAGACCCCAGGAGAATGGATAGCGTTCGAGAAATTTTCGAAACGGGGATGAAATATCGTTTGTAAACTGCTTTTCAGTTCAAGGAGCAACTCCAAAGCCGTCACAGGTGACAAGAATGAGTAGGTAAAAGTCACGGTAGGGATTCAAGACATCTTCGACGCTGAGAGTCAACGGATATCCTGAAAATGCCGAGCAGAAATAAAAAGTTGGTAAAAAGGGGTTGGGGAAAGAAAAGGCGCTTTCATAATTGACCCAGACAAGCCGAGGCCAAATAGAAATCAATGTAGAAAAAAATAAACAATTCAATATATCGCTTGAAAGCAGGCACGCTCTCCCGCACGAATCTCATAAAACTCCGCAGAAAATTCTGCATTTGGGTAGGCACTGACGGAAATTAGACGTGGCCGCCGACGGCCCAATAAGGCCATCAACGGCTCGCCAATGCCATGTATCGTTATGATCCTAAATCACGGTCTGTGGAATAGGACGCTGAAAAGACGTCCGTTAGCATTTCTGGATCAAAGACACCAAGATGGGGGCAAATGCATACCTTGACAGAGAACAGCCCTAGTATTCAGCAGACTTAGCGTCGGCCATGTCACGGCTACCGATCTTGTTCTCGGCGGAGGGGGCGGCATTGCTGATGGGCGTGAGAGGTCCATTGGCCTGTCGGGACATGTTGCTGCCGCTAGAGGCGAGGCTACGGCCACTCTTGCCGCTGCTCCGGCTATCACGGCGAGAGTTATCCGTGTCGACGAAGGAAGACATTTGGCGCTGGGTGTATTCCAGCATGGAGCGGTTGTAGTCCTCTAGCGAGGCGGCAGAGGGATCAAGCGACCGGTAAGATTCAACATGAGTCTCACTGGCCATGTTGTCCACGCCAGCAGTTGGGAACATGGAGTGGATGTCTTCGGTTGCTTGTTGCGTTTGAGCGGAGTGAGTCATGGTGGAAGAATGGCTAGTAGTGAACGAGTCAGCTTATGTTCTTAAGACAAAGTATCAGGCAGCGCTAACAGTGCTGATCAGTGGCATCATGACGGTCTGTGTGCTATATAATATAGGACGGCATGGGGATAAGGCTGATGTATGGGACGATCCCCGTGGAGGGGTGCCGTGGGGAAGCCGGATGGTATTTACCAGTCAATTCAAGGTCACTCACCTGTGGAATATTTCAAGATCTAACCAAGTTTGGCAGTTGAGTTGAATAGTAAAGGTCCTAAAGATTGCGAATAGGAAAGATAATGCGATGTTAAATTGAAAGTCCGACGGTACGTTGTCCGGGCCAGCGCATGAAATATTTGGGGAAAGTGCTATGGGGCAGATTCAGGAGTTAGGGCATATACGAAGAACAATTGGATCCAATCTGCGAGCAAGGTTTATATATATGAAATCACATCGGTGGATTGTTGATGCAAACGCACCTATGTTTGCCTCTGATAGGCCAATAGGGTGCCTAATTTCTGCTTCATCCATGGTAAGCACGAGATCTCTACCGATTACACCAAGCGGAGTACAGTGACATAATTAGCTAAAAGGGGGGGGGGTGAAAGGGGGGAGGATAATTTCTCCTAAGCGACATCATAAGAAGCATCATCACAAGCATCATAAACCGAGCATCCATAAACCCCAGCCCTTATTTTTTTGAGGTACATAAGTGACCGCGTCGACCGATTATTGGGTACGTCCAGGAGCACGGTGTGGGGTCAAATCATCATCAGAGGATGTTCTGAACTAACTAATATCCACATGTGCACAGAGACTGGTGCACTTTGGGAGCGATATCATCAGTTGTTCCACCTATGGATTGGTCACCGTTCTCCGATGAGGTCACTGGGGAATGTGGATGACCAGTGAGAGGCGAAGGCGGTTTTAGATCGGCACAATTACAGTCCGGTCCCCTGCAGATCTTTGCCTGACGTCCGCAGGACGAATCATAATTGAATTCCCATGGGCTTTTGAGGGGCGAGGCCCATCTTGCATTCTGTCTCGCTACGGGATAGGGTGTTCTTGTGAAGGAAAATGTGGACATCGCTAGTGGAGACCCGGCGCAGGAGTGGTAAAGTGGTCAATACGCGGTTGAAAAGCCGCAATTCAGGGTGTAGTTCTAGTACGGAGTAACGAGAGCCCTGGATCCCTCGATTGACTCAAAATAAACCGATAGATCAAGTAGTCCCGGGTGGCCGCAGGAGAAAAAGGGGCGTGCCGTTGCGTAGCTGAGGCTCAGGTCGAACGGAGCTATGCCGTCATACCCCCAGGCATCGGGGCGACCCGAGCAATCGATTTAGGTTTGTATTTCGGCCGGCGGAGATTCGCCGGTCGTAGATTTGGCAAACGAAAGGAGTTACTACCCGAGGCTGGTTTTCGATTATCAAAAGCGGAACTGAGCTTGAACCCGGAACGGTCTGGTACATCGTATCAAAGGCATGGAGGCTTTCAGCCACAGTGGAGACATAGCTTGCAGCAGATGAAGGTTTAATTAATTCTCAGACTGTCTTATTCGCCGCGGTATCATCAGAAATGGACAAAATAACAGGGAGAAATGGGGGCGTGTGGAGAGGAGCTAGTGATTTGAGAATTTTAGCGTTGATGCCTGAGGCAGAATAGCACCTGACGTCAGGGAGCCCTCATCTTCAAATGATATTATGTTTGTATATTGACCACAGCTCTACTCGATATTGTGTCTAATCGCAAATAAGTCTGACTTCCGGCAGATGAATCTCAAGCACGGTACTGGAACCAAAAGATCCTATTATCAATAGAGTCGGAGCCGAAACTCGCGACCGACTGCGTTCCGATATGGAAACCAGGGTCGTTCCACCTTGTTGGAGTCTGAAATTGTTCTAGAAGGACATGATATTGGCATGAATGATCGGTACGACACGTGGGAGCCAGTGGTAGGATCATCTGTAACCGAAGAACGGTGGAGGAGGGTACGGATTTGCCATCCATGAACCCTGGACGGAAGTTGATGCCAGCCGGGAGGGGGGGAGGCAAATTATTGCAAGATCGGCTTGACACCGGATACACGATAATTTGCCTCAGCATCATGTTGTACATTTTGCCCAACTTGATGGTGACACACTACCTACTACTACAAACCTAGACTGACATATCTGACATATTAGGGCAAGCGGAGGCCCATACCCAGCATATCAGATCTCCTTTTCCCCGAGATATGTTTCATGTACGAGACATACAGCAACGTCAGACGAGCGTTTGAAACACAACCTATGTTGTCCGTTACAGTCATGATCGGCTATCTGACTTTTCAAACTAGACCTGTTCTGAGGAAGCAGTCTAATCCAGCTAGCACCGGTCTAGACCAATGCAAGTAATATACTGAGCTTATCATGCTACAATATGCAGATCCAGAGAGATATTGTTACAATTGGTGGAGAAACTATGATACTACATAATGTGTATAAGGATTGACTCCAATTCTATGCGATGTCGCAAGTCGAAAGGCACTTGTGGAGTACAATGTAGGTTTCACAATATAGTCTAATAGAGTTTGATCCATAACACCGCTCCTCCACCTCAAGGGGCTGATCATAGATATGACAGCATCGGATAATGTATGTGGATTGTATCAACAGCGGAGCGTGTCAAAAACAAGCGTGCGCGATTATGCATTGTGCACTTGCGGGTCTTCCTCTGCTTATTGAATGCCAATCAATGCCTTTTCACGATCCACTTTCTTCATTATCCTGATCCATCTCGTGCCTGGTCTGAAGACCTAAACCAGATATGAACCCAAAAGACCATTACATATGACGAGGCTCAGATCAGACTTTCCCGATTCGGAAAACAATACATACAACATACATTGTTGCTGTCCGCCGATCAATGTAAACGGTACTTGAGTCAGATACCGGGGTTTGACAATCCCCAGCGTATCTCAAATGATATCACACCACAGCCTCTTGACGGCGATCTATGATGTATTGTATGTAGGTCAAAGAGGATGGAAGCTTAGCGTACAACGTATCTTGTACACCGTAGCAAGCATATGATATCACTAGTCGATTCTTATTAGTCGATTCTACCGGAAGTGCCTCACGTCATATGTACATAGCTCCTTACCCTGATGCCCCTGGGCAAGACAGTCATCGACAACCCTATATCCACACATTTATTATCGATCCTCTTTGTTGCATGCCCCTCGTATATTGAAAGTCAAAAACCTGTTTTGGATCAGATATCGATCTCGACGGTACTTTGTACAACATTGCCCCGTACCTTGTAGACAACACTCAGCACGCTACATAGTATTCCAAGGTTTATCAATGCATTGGACTTGGCATCATATACATATGGGGAGGACATCCAATGCATGACTGACGTATGAAACCGGTTAGAAACTCATTAGTATGTGAGCTTCCAAACGCCTTTGCTCTGCGGTCTGGATCCTGGTCGCATGTTGTTTTGTTGTAAGCCATTCCACATACTGGAATTCCACATTCTAACAGAATTATCCTTCGCCTAGAAACAGGTGCTGTCCCTGCTAGCAGCGAGCATTGAGTATCTGATTCCCCGGCTGCATTCATCGGGAGAGGTGCAACAATGGAGAACGGGTCCAGCACAACATCGACACACTTTTTCATCGGCCTCGAGTCAACAAAAGACCATCTAACATAAACAGTTTCTATCCCTGCGAGCATATACCAACATATATGAACATGAAGCAACGATCACCCCCGCCTTCCCAACTGCGCTATGGGTCGGTGCTTATTGATGTCGTTCGCAGACCACCCGACCTCCTCTTTGCACAATGTCTTCGACGGACACCGTTCATATCTCTGGAAGAGTGATTTGGAGACTTGGGGCCTACAACGTATAATATCGGGCATCTCGAGCGTGCCGGGCATACGCTATCACAGTGTCCTTTCATCATACCGGCGTGTCAACCCATCTTCTCTTAGTGATTTGTAAATCCCCTATTTTAGTAACTTAGTATAAACTATATCGATTACTATCCCCCACCTAATGAAACACCGTAGACCATCAGCCTTGAATTCGTGTTTCTCATATTTCTTTTGTAAACCAAATATTCACCTCAATGGCTTTCCTTTGGTGTGACATACGATCAACGGACCACCATGACTCGAAGCCAACTACTTCGTACCATACTAGTATATTTTGATCTAGACAGACAAGAACATAGATTTTGCAACAGAAATAACTAGGCCAACACGCCGGACATAGAGGTAGTAAAATGCATCATATTATTGTTCATGCTCATGCTCATATCACACGTAACCTGTTTTAAATAATCGTTATTACGAATCATCCAAGTAGGACAGACAGCGGCGGCAACAGTCCAAACACGACTATGACTTGCGCCTATATCCGATCTCAAATACGGGGAACATATGAACATACCTTTCCGGGCGCCCTGGAAGAAGAAGCGCACAACAAAGACCTGCAACGCAGCCATGGAAACCATCATCAAAGACTCAATCACACTGAAGTTGAAAATACGACGCTCGGTACTCCGCACGGTGCTGAAGTTACGATTCTCGCGAGTGCGGAAGTACTTCTGGTTGCGGGAGACGGTAGAGAGTTGCGCGGACAGCTTGTAGATGGACTCCTCCAGACTGGTGGTTTGCTCGGGGCTAGCACCCTGGCGGGAGGGCAATTGAGCGCGCTGTTCGTTTTCGACCTGTAGGTTCAATGGCTCAATTAGCATTTGTTGACCGGTTCGTCAAGTTGATGGATATGGAACGTACCGCAATCTCGAAGTCAACCATCTTCTCGGCAAAGGTGGACATCTCATTGTTGAAGCAGAAGGTGTACTCGCCGATGCTCTGCGCAGTGAAGACAAAGTCGCCCTGTCGCTCCTTGGCACCGTCTAAAACGACCTTGCCGCCCGGTGCGGTGACGGAGTAGTCGACATCGAAGGAACCGCCAGATTGGACCTGCATCGTACATTATTAGCATTCGGCACCACCAAGTGTATCCAAAGCTCCGCGACCATAACAAAATATCACTGAATGAATGTGTTTGATGAATAACCAATTGGACGTACCGCGAAGTAGAAGGCCACCTTGGCGTTGCTCTGCTCAACGTTTGTGAAGAAGCATGCTTTCTCGTTCGCCTCGAGCCTGTAGGTCAGGGCAGTTGCGGTGACGGATGAGACCAGGGAGGCCAGACCGGCGAAAAGAGCGAACCGCATTGTGAGACAGATATACCGAGAGGGACCGTTGAACTGGGGGATGATATCCGCGTCAGGAGTCCGTTCGGGCCAACTTTGTCTTCGGCTGTTTGACTTGTTTGCACCCAAACAAACTTCCGCATATGTCGACTTCTGACTACTTCACGAGTCTATTTTGTAGGGATACACAACACACATGGGAAATAAACAATTTGCACTCATCATGCAGACGGTATTGTCTTCTACTTCGACTGGTTACATGAAAAAAAGACGCAAAAAAAAAAAAGAGAAAGGCATGATCATCGCATCAGGGTGTCGC